CATGCCAGTTCCCCAAGACCAGCACAGCTGCGAGTCCTGAACATGTGCTAATAGAACAGCTCTTCTGAGGAGAGCAGGGCTTCAGCTGCATTCTCAGAGCCAACTCCTCCTTCACGGGTACCCACCAAGCACCGGTGGTCCCTGGCTACTGTAAGCACTGCTCGATCCTACACAGCAAATACAGCAGACAGCAATGTATTTCCATGTGCACTGGGGCAAACCAAGTAATTGCCAAGTGATATGGTAATCAATGAAAACATATCTAGGGATGAGGCATTCCACAACCTGCGGGCTCCTAGAAATGCTCCAGCTTCCAGCTAGGGAGGACAACTACAAGTCCAGTCTGCACACTGTTGTGCATGCTCCAATGAATGCTGGATTTTTCACAGCTGTGATGTCCAACGTAATCCATACGTCTTATTTGACTATAAATGAAGGTTAAATATAACTACGAATGCAACTCCTTACTCACACTAGCCATGTTTCCAGCGCTCAAAAGCTGCATGTGACTGGTGGTTACCACTCTGGCCCGTACAGCTGTGGATCACTTCCCTCACCAGGACAGCACTAGTGGTCAGCAGTCCTGTGTCCAACACTGCAGGAGATACAGGCATAGACTTCACAAGGCGAAATGTCACTCCACAAACCTCACTGAGAGCCTCGAGTCACTCAGCACTGAAAGAGGAACACACATGTGTCCAATACGTTCACCAAGTTCCTTTTTAATTCAAAAGAAATGGGACTGGCTATAGCCATACACACCAGCAACCCGAGCACTCTGGGAGGCTGCAGCTCCAGGATCCAAGTGGAAGGACAGCACAGGCAGCTTAGTGAGATCTGGCCTCAACAACAAATAAACACAAAAAAGGCTGTGTATACAGCTCTGGTACAATGCCATTGACTTCCCAGCACCACACAAGAAGGGGCTGGGAACTGCACACAACCTACTGTGGGCAAAGCCTACATACCTCTGCCCTGACTCCATGAACAGATTCCACAACAGAAGTTTTGTACCAAAGTACAAAAAGCACTACACAGTGCACGAGTACCAGTGTGCTCATTAAGATAGCTTCAGCCAATTTACAAGAAAAAGCTGTGTGCACCTGGCTTCTGGTCTCATGTATCTTCCAAAATAAATGCTAGAGGAGTGAACAAAATTTTACACTATGGAGAAGATGACCACTTGACGGGATAGTGTGGTAAAGAGGATTGTTATCTCTTAATTTACCCAGTTAAAACATCAGAAACTGGGCTGCTGTCATTTAAGTAAAAAGCCCAACCCCATGATGTGGGGGTCATGAAAAACTTAAACCCACATATCAAACACTGATCTACAGAAAACAACTGTCAGGGATATGTGCCTCCTCTTTTCTCTCCCAGATGGACTACCATGAGATACACATAGTGAATCAGTTCCAGGAACTTGATCCATAAAAATCTCAACAAAGAAAAGACAAAGAACAAAAGTTTTGATACAAAATGGGTGATAAAACAACAGGTACTTCGCAAAAGGAATCTCTCCCGAGATAACTCCATTTCATGTAATTAGAAAAGTGACTATCAAAATCATAACTAGAGAGCCAGCCCAACCCCTGAGTGCACACAGGCAGCATCAGGACCCTCTTACGAGCAGTCAGCTTGAGCCAGAGAAGCAGCAGCCAGCCCTACCCCTGTAAGCCTGATGGCCACCATCACGGACCTATAGCCGATGTGAACTAGCAGAACCAGCCAGCCACACCACGGAGAAACCGAATTATGTCTGGAGAAGCCCAACCTGCACTCCACTGCCTCCCCAGGAACCTAGGTTAGGAGAAACCCAGGTGCCTGACCCATTCCCCTGCACTGCGGATGGGTGACCAATTCAGGAAGTGCCTCGGACCCCACAACTGGCTTGTTCAGAAGAATCCAGGAAAATGTCAAGACAAAGGAGCAAAAGGCTTCCAGCCCGCACAGAACAAGCCCAAGAGAAACACACATGGAAGAAATTAAAAGCTGCTTACTTGAAATTTCTGGGATGATGACACCTGAAGTAAAGAAACTAGTTCATGAGGCTGTAAAAGAAATCAGAACAGAAATAATATCTCAGGTAAAGGAAGAGATGACAGACATAATGAAAGGACTGCTGAGCATATCTTAAGAAGACATAGATAAAGAGCAGCATAGGAAAATGATGGAAAGTGAATAAGCAATATAGGAAAGAACTGGAATGCATGACACAGATTCAAAGAGACTTCAGGAAATCAAAACTTCCATCAAAAGCTGCAAAACTGCCTGAACAGAAGTGAAGATAAACTCTCAGACCTTAAAGAAAGGATTGCAACTAGTGATCGACAAAGGAAAGATCTCTTAAAAGGAAGAAGGAACCAGGAAATAACAATTCCATGGCTGCAAGACAATGCAAAGAAAAAAGACTGACAGGTGTCAGCGAAAAAGCAGAAGTCAACACAAATGACATAAAAAGACTTAAGTAATAGCAAAAACTTCCCAAGCATGAGAAAAAGACCTGACATACAGATAAGTGAGATATACAAAACTCCAACTACCTACCCATAATCAAAATAAATCTATACCCAGACATACAATAATCAAGACCCCAGAAATTCAGCACAAGAACAGAACATTAAAAGCTGTTAGAAGAAACAGATCTCCTATAAAGGAAAATCCATCAGAATCATGACAGATTTCTCAACACAAACCATCAAGTCAAGAAGAGGTTGGAATAAAGTATTTCAAGTCCTCAAAGAAAACAACTTGCAAAAGTATCTTCCAAAATTAATGGAGAAACAAGATACTTTCATAACTAAGAATAGCTGAAGGAATTCATGATGACCAAAGCAACCCTACAAAGAGTACTGAAGGATACTCTAGACAGAGATAATGCCATTTTTCCAGGAACAGCAGCAGAGGGAGATCACGGAATGCAGCACTCAGCTGAACAGAGGGGAAAAGTAGGGAGCCAATGGCAGGAAAAGAACATGGCAGAGATGAGCCAGTGCACAGTGGCCATAGTCATTAACATAGATGACCAACAAAAATAAACACCGGCAGGATGGAGTAGGAGAGAGGATCCATCAATATGTGGTATACAAGAACATGTAACTCAAAAGGAAATTCATAAACTAAAAGTCAAAGGAGAGAAAACAATTCTCCATGCAACAGGAAACCAGGAAAAAGCCAGGGTAGCTTGCTTATTAACCAGAGAATGCATAAGAAAGATATGGCATTTTTATATAATGGAAAGCTACTCAGCTAGAAAGGACAATCACAGGGCTCTGTAGGTAAATGGATGCAATTTGAGATCATGTTCATGGGTGAAATGGTTCAGACTCACATGGATGAAAATTGTGCTGTCCCGCTAGTGTAGGAAACTGAAGGCAATGGTGGGATCCAAAATGTACAACAGATATTGTGACAGTGAAAGGGAAGAAAACGTCTAAAAAGGGAAGGTGGTAGCCACCATTAATTTCCCATTGTCTTGTTTTGAAGTCGGGGACCATTTTCATTGTTCTGTTTTGTTTAATTTTATTATATCTGATGTTATAGGTAGCTATTTCAAAGATAAGACACATTAATATAGTCATTATTGATTTCTTGCTAAATTCCAGGGTCTTTCCTATTATCTTATTTTGAAGTCCTCTATCATTTTCATTGCTTTATTCTGATTGATTTTATACTGTTTCATTTGATTTTATTATATTTTATAGTATAGGCAGCTACTTTGAAGATAACAAGAGGCATAATAGTAGCCATTGTTGATTTCCTATTATTTTGAAATGCTGTATTGCTTTCATTGTTTTGTTTTGATTGCCTCTATTCTGTTTTATTTTGTTTAGTTTTATTTTCTGCAAAACAAAAAATCATTTGAAAATCATAACTAGATACCACTACATGCTTAAAAGGATAGGTACTGAAGAACTGAATTGACATATGTGATAATCCCATTGTCATGGTTAGGCTTGGTAATGTCAACCAACTGGTTCTGGGATTGCCTAGTGGATTGCTGGAGGATACTTGTGGATGTGTCTGGGAAGGTCATGGAGTCGTGGTCTTGGAGGTCCATGTCTGGTCCCTGGCCACTTCTCTGGTGCTGTTTTCCTATTATTCTAGCCACCACAAACCATCTTTGCTCCACCATCTTTGTTCCACCACACCCTACTGCCTTGGTGTTCCCGCCTTAGAGCTAGATGACTATGGACTGAATCTCCTGAAACCGTGAGCCAAATTAAACCTCTCCTCCTCTAAATTGTGGGTGGTGGGTACTGTGTGTCAGCAATAGGAAAGCTGGCTAATATACATGCACTGCTTTAAAAGTATGATCAGTTAAAATAAAAGTACTTCAGCATTACCTGGTTAGATTGGATACATCTACATATAACAATGCACACTTTCAGTGCCAGGCATATTTGTGTGCCCATGCCTGCTACAGACATGTACACAATGATTATTTTTTGACGTAAAATAGAAACAAGTGTCATTCAACATTAGAATGGATAAACTGTAATACATATTCTAAAAGCACAGATGAATCTTGTAAGCATAATATTAACAGTGTAACATAAAACATAAACAAAACGTAACATAAAAAACAGATAAAACAGTATAACATAAAAAACCGAAAATTACACTACTGTGTTAGAGTGGAGCAGGTATTAAATTATTTAAAATAAAAATAAAAACCACAAAGACTGGCTATAGGGGCTAGCCAGGAGAGTGGTGATCTCTGCAAGAGGACAGAAGGGCGAAAAGTTCTACGAGAAGAGGCCAAGAGACCCAGTAGCTGCTTACATGCTACTGCTTTACCTGAAAAGGGACTTCATGGATTTTTTTTTTTGTTGGGGAGGTGATAATTTGTTGAGCTGGACAGTTCGGTCTTGTGACCTTTCTGTATAATGTTACACTACACACATGGCATGCCCCACTCACACTGAGGTCAGCTGATCCATCTCATCTCAATGCACTCCAGCCACTCCCCAAAGTGGATTCCATCCCCCTCAGCTCACCTCATGAGGGGCTCTGCCAACCACTGCCGAGACACTGACACCCTCTCCTCCTTCCACGTGGATTTGGGAATTCACTCTCTGGTAAAGAATCTGAAATGGGAACAGGTTAGGTCACAAAGGAGATGCATTTTTAAATCTGCCTCTCATCACAGTGGAGGCTTTAAACTGAAAAGTACTTTCTCCTTTAGAGAGAAAAAAACCGCTGTTTCATGGAGCACAGTGTTTGACACCAGGCTTGCTTCAGGACTTTATAAACAGCTTCACAAGGAAGCAAGAGTTTCAGGAGTGGGAGTCCACAGTGAAAAACCTGACAGACAATGCAATGACCACCTGTGAGATGGAAATGTGAACTGTGAGGATGCTCAGATTGCTAGTGTTACTCAGTGAGCCTGGTCCTCTCCAAGCCACATCTGAGCTGTGCATTTTAGGAAATTTCAGCATCCCTAGCCAAAGCCCAGGCCCACCCAAGGGGCCTCAAGAAGGGGGCCAGTACTTCTTTACCATGACCATTCCCACATGATTTTTATTGCAACTTCTTCACAATGTAACTATCCCCTTAGACTCAACAATTTATTTCTTAACTTACTTCCAATTTGTCTTGAGGTAGTCTGTGCCATTTGCTGTATATTCCCAAACCTCTTATGTGTGACAACCGGGTTTTCTTCTACATGTTAGAATTCTCACATTACCAAAAACCCAGAAAGCCCACCAGGGTACCCTGGAGCACTCACTTGGGCCTCCAGAGAGCTCCTGGCTGCCAAGAGCAGTTCAATGCTGCCTGGTGGGCAATGGGTCAGTGCGAAAGCCAGGAGCTCCTGTCGAGTGGCCAAGTCTTGGTAGCCTTCTGCCTGTCCCAGCTGGCTGCAGACATCCCAGCTTTGAGAGTAACCTGCAAAACCAGAACAACAGCAAAAGAATGATTTCTGGTAGCAAAGTAACACTCAATATAAGATGAGAAACAAAATGGACTCCTGCTCAGGTTTTACAAAGCAGAACTATAGTTATTAGTGATACATTTGGCAGCAATGTGTAAGAGTCTAAGAGAACAAAGACTAAGCTGAGCTCTCACCCAAGGCGTTCAGAGGTACTCCGGATGTGCTACTGACCGACTTCCCAAGCTTAGATTAGCTGAAAATGAGCACAAGCTCTCGCTCAGTATAAAGGTGGCTATCTCGATTCCAAGGCTCAGGCCATGGTCCTATCCAGCTGCTCAGCACTCTGTGCCCTGCGCCACTGCAAAGGGACAATGATAACCCCTCCCTCTGGGTTCCTGAAAGAACAGTATTTAAACTGCATCTGAAAGTGCACAGTGCTACATAAAGTGACACCAAGACCAACAGTCACATGGGAGCGTTCACATCACAGGAAAAGGCAGCCCACCAAGGACAGGGACAGAGGGAGCCACCGACTCCCAGGAGAGGTCTTTCTCCTACACAATGTTACTATGTGAGCGCTTCAAACACATTTCTTTCTTCCTTATTCAAAGGAGCTCTGGTTCAAAAGCAGCTCTTCTAAGAATAAAGGGTTCAATCCAGAATAACTTCTCCCAAATACATGAAGTAAAATTTAACTCAGGTACTACCCTGACAGTTGTAGACTATTACGGCAAAGCTCTCTATATAAACCATTTGTATTAATATGACATCAATTCAGGATCCATGATGATTCCAAACTTCATGAAACAAAACTGCTTCACTGACACTAAAGGACGCAGCTCCTCTATGGATTAGCACTTAGTACCCAGGGTGGGACGTGCTGTCCTGAGTTTTTCTAGGTTGGAATGTCTATAACAACTGCTATAGTTCTTCTCCTTCACCAGACCTCAGCCAGGTTGCCCAGTTCCTCTAGGCTAGGCCTCGCCCCCACCCCCACTGGTGGACCTCAGACCTAAGTGTCATCAAGCCTGGTGCCAAGCCAGCAGACTGCAATGCCCACATCCTCGGAACTGCTCCTGCTCCTCCTTTCTCAGTCACGGCGTCCAATCATCCAGGCCTGCCTTCAGCACACACCCCATTAGACCACTGAGCTGGAGCACCTTATTTTGGACATCTCTTCTTAGTGCTTTCTGCCCATGATCCCCTGGGTCTGGTTCTGGCTGCAATGCTCTCCTATCCCTATTGCATTAGGGGCTATATCCATCCAATCAGTCTTCCCAGTAGGTGTCTGTCCAGGGGCAGCAGCAAGACTTTGAAGCCTGAGAAAAAACAAGCAAGCAGCTACAACTTTTGGCACTAAGACTAGACAGCAAAGCAAGCTTTTGGTGAAGCAAGCAAGTCACTGCATTCCTTGAGATAAGAAGGCAGGGTATGTGGGAAAACTGGATGAGGCTGGTGCCAGCCAAGATAGTCTGGCCCACAGCTGACCTGAACTCTGAAGTCCAGCCCACTCAAAACTAACTTTGCCCCACCCGGGGCCTCCCCCTCCTGAAGGAAGGTATGACAGTTAAAGGAGACCCGCACTCCCTCCACCTGCTTGCCCTGACCAGGCTCTCTGTCCTCTCCTGGCTGCTGCCTGTGGAGCAGCCAGCTGCATTTCCTTCTAACGTACACGTTTATTAATCCTTGGAATTGGCCCTCCACCCTCTGAGCAGCTGACAGCTCAGACTACCTGGTGCACCACAGCAAGAGTCTCAACAGGTATCACAACAATCCTCAAGGGAGCCTTCCTCATCATCACAAGTGCCAGCAGGGTTTCTGGCTAAGAGTCGTCGTACACACAGGCATAGGTCAGGCTGGGACACACAGCACAGTGGGGCAGCGCATACCCAGCATGTATGAGGTCCAGGGTTTAATCCTCAGCTCCAAAGAAAAACAATAAAAGTGCATGGATCATTCCCACACAACTCCATGACTTCAGGATGCAACGGACTGGGCTTCAAGTACTCACTCCGGTGCAGAGTACTAGGGACAGGCAAACAAGCGGGTGCAGGGTCCATGGGACGACTGCTTCCCGTCCTACCAGGAAGCGAGTCCTCCAGGTGAGACGCCTCTACCACAAACTACCTACCCTCTGGGAACAGGAATCTCAATTCCAACACAGAAAGTTTTAAGGATGCAAACTACTCCCCAACTTTTCAACATGACCTTGAAAAGCACTGGACTCAAAGAATAGAAATACTGACTATGGAATCAAATATTGCATATACTTTTAAAAAATCTTACTTTTTCATTTATGCAGCAAACACATAAAATAGTATGAAAATAGTTTACATGAAATTGTTCTTATGATTATGAACATAGTTTCAACACAGAATCAAGAGCAACCACATCTCAGATAAACTGGATGGCCCAGCCCATTACAGTATTAATAGATACACACCCTGCAGATATGCTTGTGGCTGCTGAGTAAATGTGTCCATAGCAGAGCTATGGTGAGCCTTCCAGAAGCCTGGCTGCTTTCAGAACACACCTTCCCCCACCTCGACACACATGCAACACATGGCACAGGACCACGCAAGCGCTGCTCACCCATGGCCATCAGCTCCTGACAGTGCATGTTGGCTGCTTTGTAGTCATGGAAACAGAGGGCCTGCTGCACCAACAGGGTCAGAACCTGCCCACGCCGCTCTTCTGAGTCCTCACCTGCAAGCACAGATAAATGCTTTGTGATCGTAGCGTCAGCAATCCACCTAAAAGCTCATTGGCAGTGATTTTCAAATTAATTCAAACACAAAACACATGGGGTAGATTGATTTTAAAGGGTCAGGGGGCAAGAGGGTAACTGCAACTCTGACTTCTCAATCTACCCACTGTCCATGGGAGGAGCCTCAGCTCTGAAGAGATCAATGATGAGTATCAGCTGCTAATTAAACTATGCAGATGCAAGTCTAAAAGCAGAGCAGTCTACAGCCAACTGAGTAGCCTTGATATCACTAAGGTAAGGGAAAGAGAATAGGCCCATGCTTTAAAAGCAAAGATATAAATGGGCTCATAGACGAAGTGAGTGGATGAAGGTCACACACAATGTCACAGGGCTTATCTTAAAGATCCCACTGGTACTTACAAAATGGGACATAAGTGTGGGCAGAGTGCTGACGATGCTGGGAGGGCCCTTCTGAGCCTGCCAGACCCAGCCTGGGGTCCTCTAGGCTGCCTTCACCCCAGAAGCGCAGCCCAGCTGCATACCAGTCTGTCCCAGTGACACAACCGTGGCCCAAAGGATGTTTTTCTGAGCCTGATATTCAGCGAAAAAGACGTCGGGAATGACAGATGCCAATCCTGCAGCTTAGCATTCCAAAGCCTCACCTGCAACCCTCAGCAGCTCAGCAAGGCCAAGGAGCTTGGCAGACTGCTTGTAGCAAGTGGGGGACTGCAAAATACACTCCTTTATGAGGCTGATCCGGTCAGCACGCAACCGCACTACAAAAGAAAAGACAGTAGAGGCTTTTAAGTGGGGTATTGCAAAATGATGTCATGATTACCCTAAGATAAGGCCACCAGACAGAATGAAAACCATCTCCAGACCAATGGAAACTAAGGAAAATGTGCATTACAGAAACAATAGAATTAGCATTGCCTCTGAATAAGTAATGTGCAAAATTTTCTACATAACCAAACTTCTAAAGCCAGCCAATGAATAATCATTCCAAAGGTACAAACATGTATCATCTTTTCAAGCACCAAATTAGGACACACTTTAAAGGAGGCTGTATTGTCGCAGCAAATTTCATATCCTTCCTGTAGTGCCAGTCCCTCCACCTTAGCTTCATCCCTCAAAACCTGCCCCACATCCCACACACCCCTTTTCTACCTCTGTGGCACCACTATTCTGCAGGGCAGGGTCATGCCAGCAACCACTGTTTCAATTCAACAATGTTCTCTGAAAGTTAAGCCCATTCCTCTGGTTTAAGGTAGACATCCAGGAAATGGACCATGTTTCATGCAGCAAATTCACATTATGAGAAAACGAAAGGCACAAAGTAAAGAAAAACCTTTAGTTAAATGGCATCAAATATGTTTTGGGAATACATGGTGCTTATAAAGTGTAAGTTACTGCTTCCATTTAAAACAAACAAACAAAGTATGCGTTTAAAGACACACTGCCATGAATTCCCTCAAGCTCCTCCCCTTCACTTCAGATGCACTCATCCTACTGTCTGTGCCACTTCCTGCAGCAGCTCTGGAATCCTCTTTCCTGAGGGTGTTCAGTTGCACTGTCCTGGCTGTCTTGATGCCCTGCATGGATTCAACATGTGTCCCTTTCATGGTCAGTGTGACTTTGGGGGAAGAGCTGAAAGCTGCCCAGGGCCAGATTCAGTGACTAAGGTGGATGAGGACATAGTGTTGTGTTTTTATGAGCTGCCTTTCTGCGGGATGATGCTCAGCAGCAGCAGTCACCAGATTTTTTTCTCTCTGTCTCCTGGTAAAGACGCTCAGGAAGGAGTCCAGTGCTGCTGCAGAAAGCAGCAACAACAATGAGATGAGTGCATCTGAAGCAACGGGAGGATTTGGGAGTCATCAGTGGCAATGTGTCTTTTACTGTACTACCAGCCAGCTGTGAAGGCCAAGAAGATTTGGAGTTTTTCACTACAGCACAATCTATCTCACAGACACAACATACACAGCACGCACGCACACATACACAAGCATACTTTTCCATAACCTACTTAAAACAGTCATGGGTATTTTCCTGAGTACCAGCTACAGATTCGTGGATTTTTTCCAGGTTCAGTAACACATGATGACGATCTTACAGGTACGTCACCAGCCTCATCCAGTGCTCACGGTAGCACTTGCCAAGAATGCTATCACCCTAGTACCCAAGGCCCGGAGTTCTCACAGCCTTCAGGTGAATCACCACTCCCACCAAAGGGCACACTAGCTTCAGCCACTCGGCTGGGGGCTTCCTCACCAGTTATGCTCTCGGTCCAGCTCAGTAAATCCAGCCAGGAACTGAACCCCACAGCAGAGATGGACACACAAGCCCAGTGCTCTGTCTCCTGGTGTTGTGAGCAATGCAAGCCAGTAACACTTATGTATATGAAATCCATTTGGAGAATGGGATTCTAACACTGTGATGACTGTATTCAAATGGCTTTTTACCTTATTTATGTATTTCTGAACTCCTCTGTAACTGCTACACAGCTCTCTTACTGTTGATTTTATGGCACAAGTAACTATATTTCAAAATGTGATTTCTCAGTTAATACCTTCAAGCCTTATATGTCATTATTTGTCCATGCATTAAGGGAGTGTTTGACTTCTGAGATTCTTTGAAAGATCGAGTTGGCAAAGTTGAGAAAAAAATGCATGTACATATCTGTTAATAACTGAAGATACCTCATTTTTCTATAGCTCTTACACTTACATCTCAAATGCTTTTTAAATTATTAACACACACAAACACACACACACATATCTCGGGAAAAGAACACATGAACACACTACCCTGCCTACCGGTTTTGTCACAACACTCGGCCCAGACAGCAAATGCCATCCGAGCACAGCTGAGAAGCAGCCAAGGCCGTCATTTGGGATGGTGTTGGAGTCCACAACATAGCCACTGTGACTGTCTTGAAGCAGAACTTCAGGCTGAGCAGGACAGGAGGCATGAATGTGCAGCAGGTGGTCTCTCCCTGAGGCGGGAGAATTCTGTGAACAAAGGACTACCGCTCACAAATGGAGGGCACAGGGCAGGCCTCCTGGGTCTCGGTTCCAGCTGTGTACCTGTGTCACCTTCAGCATGAGACCCGAGCTTCTGGGGCCTAGACTTTATCACCCTAAAATCAAGCAACACACATAACTGCCCCTGGAGCATCTTCCAAATCAATGAATGTGTGTTACCTCTGTCAAGCGTACACGGAAACACTCCTAGAGTCTAGGACCACTAGGGAATGGTGTCTCGGTATGTTGGGATAGTGCCAGGCTGTCCAGGCAACACTGTGTTCAGCCCCACGTGAAGAAGGTGACCTTCAAGGTGCCGCCATCCACCACAGGTGGTGGAACTCAGCCACATGTCTGCGGGAGGCTGGTGGAACTGTCTTTTCATTAGTAATTATGGCTATTAAAGTGAAGGGAAGAGGCATTGGGAAAGGGGGAACAGAGAGGTATGGGCAGAGGTAAAGAGGAGACTCAGAGGAGAACAGGAAAAGGAACGACCCAAAGAGGAAGGGTGGCACAGCATGAGAGGGCAGCGGCAGCATAAGGCCGAACCAACTCTACAGTCACGTAGAAAACCCGATCTGTGCCACAGGACCACGAAGATGACAGTGCATCCTGGGCCTGAGGACGCACAGCCGATCCTACCAAGACTCCACCCAGCTCACTCCGTGCCTCCACTTGAGAAGTGAGAGGAACATGGAGTGTTGGGAGACTGGCCCGGCCACCGAGGCAAAGTAGCAGATGATAGAAAGCACACCTGGCATAACTGAGTCAAAAACCACGCACTTGAGCATGAAGAAAGTCTGACACCAACAGTGGCACCCAGACCACAGAGAAAAGCACGCACATGAAACAGCCACTTCCCAGGGGACAGACACAGAGTCCTTCCTCCACGCTGCTCTCTTCTGTCTTCTGTTCACTTGTTAACGAACGACATCTTAGTTCGTGACACTCATCTTTGTCTGATGTGAAATACCAATCCTGAAGCGCAGGCAGACAAAGCTCCAAGATGAGGCACAGTGACAACACAGTGCCAGGCCTGTGGCCATGCAAGTGCTGAGCGGCTGCGCCAGCACGCCGGGAAGGCGGAGGCACTGAGACCTGACAAGGACCTGCAGCTCACATGGCTGGTGTTCTCTTGGCCACAGGGCCCCTGGCATCCCTCTGAACGGGAGCCTTAAGGTACAGGCTGAGCAAGACAGCAGCCGGGACCTTGGAGCTCCAGCTTTCCAGAGGCTGCCAGGCTCGGGCACTTGCTCAGAGCACAGGCAGGGCCACAGGAGCGAATCATGCTGAGCTTCACAGCTCATCTGCAGATGCTGCCGGCAAAAACACTGCGTGAGTGCCCCAGAAAACCAGTTTCAAAAGTCAACAGCAGGTGAGGGACTGCGAGAAGACATTTCTATACTCAATCACTCTGAATTACACAAGGTATGATCAAAATACACAGCACAAGTTTAAAATGCTAAAATCCTGTCACAGTAAAAGACAACTTGCAATTATTCTCTTTCCACTGTGCTCCCTTGTTTCCAGCACACACGTCCCCTCATTCTTGTCACTTTTTGCAACAGCTCCAGAAATTCTCTTGCGAGTGTCTTTACGAGGTGTGATCAAAACTACTGTGAGTGCTGCCACTGAGCATGACTCCATGGAGTGCAGGCCTGGGATCATTTTACTCAAGATCTGAGTCCCTGCTTCCTACTGCCTGCCTCTTATTTGGCTCTTTACTTATACTGTGGGCTTCTCACATATGAGAAGCTGTGTGGTATTTAAGCTTGTGTGTCTGACTTATTTCACTTAACGTGGTCTCCTGCATATCTATTTTCCTACAAATGACTCAAGTTCATCTCTCTTTATGGCAGGGTACTGTGCCATTGTGTGTAAATATTCTTTTTCTTTATGGGCTGACAGGCAGGCATACCAGCCACTTCCAACATTTTACTGTTCTGAGTCATGATGCATGGACTGCTGTACTGTGATATCTAGAGATGGAAGGAGAAGGAGGGAAAGGGAAATAAAAAGAATTGATATATTAGGTACATGTGCCTATTTCTCACAATGGAAGGAATCACTACAAACTACAAACATGAACTAATAAAAACAGATACACACAAACACACATAGTGTTATGGTGTGTGCACAGATGTCCACCCAAAGCCTCACGGGGCATGGGGGTGGGCTTCTAGAGTTTCAGAGTGATTCACAGTCCTATACTGGAATTAAGGCTGTGAGCGCTACGCCACACCCATCCTAAGACATACAATGTAAGGGACAGAAAGAGGCACGGGTGTCTCTGTCTCTCTCTTTCTCTCCTCACTTGTTGCTTTTTCAGTCTTTTGCTGCCATCAACTGTTACCCCTCTGCCATGAGGCACCCTGCTTAGAGCCAGCCAATTATGGACTGAAACCTCTATTAACTGTGAGCTAAATAAACCCTTCCTCTTCTAACTTTGGATGTTAGGTATTTTGTCTCAGCAAGGAAAAAAGTAAGACACATAAATAACAAAACAACAGAAACACATGACACTGTATCTCATCCACCTTATTTCCTGGATGTGCACTGTGTGACTGACTTCCAGCTCTTCCCCAAAGTCACAATGACCATGCAAGGGAGACATTTTAAATCCATTCAGGAAATGGAGGCAGCCAGGTCAGCACAGCTAAAGACCCTCGGGAAGAGCTGCTGAGAAAATGGAGGGAGTGTGTTCAAATGAGCAGAGGATTTTGAGAGAATTTGTGGCAATGTGTCTTTTACTGTAATAGAACTATAAAAAAATCTAAACGTTTACCACATATTCCAAACATGCTGCATATAAAAAGCTAAAATGCAGATACATGTATATATACAAGGTCGAAGTTGTAATGACTTAATAAGAGATAAAGATAGACCAAAAGATGCACTGTGCTCTATTCTTCTGTGACTAAAAAAAATGTTTGAGGGAGAAGCTTAGAATAAGCTCAAGCTTAGAATAACTGAGAATGCTTTTCAATAACTGACTGATCGTCATGATTTTAATAAGACCTGAGGTAAAAAAAAAAAAAAAAAAAAAAAAAAAACGCATGAATCAGTCAGGCAAGGTGGCACGTGCCTGTAATCCCAGCATGCAGGAGGCTGAGGAAGGAAGATTGCTCAGTTCAAGGCTAGACTGGCTACAAAGTGAGTTTAAGAGCAGCCTGAACTGTACAGTGAAATCCTGTCTCAAAAAGCCAAAAAAAAAAAAAAAGGAAGGAAGAAAGAAAGTCCTGCATAAATGGTACAGCTGAAAAGGTTTTCTTATATAGACTTGATTAAGATGCTACAGATACTCTGTTCTATTATGTCACATTTGGTTTTACTCTCTCCAAAAAAAAGTAATAAGAACTGTGGGAATAATAAAACCCAAAATGTGTAATTGTCATTGTACAAAAGAGAGGAAAAGAAAGTGCTCTAAATGATATAACTGCATGTATATTTAAGTGTATAAGATAGATAATGATATTACTGAGTTTTGTTGGATCATTGAACAGAACTGTTTGCAGTCTCACTGTTTGAATGTCCACTTTATATGCTTTAATTTTGTAACTTGAACAAATATTTCTAAGATGACAATAAGTAATCTATTAACTAGTGATTTCCTACTGTTTATTTTTTTCTGAAATTCTGTATAACTTGTACCCTTTTTCTGCTTTTTTTTTCTTCTTCTCCTTAAATAAAATTTTTTTTAAAAGTACAAAAAAAAAGACACTACAAACAGATTACTAACAATGAAATGCTAAGAAGAAAACCCACCTTGCAGAGGCAGGATCTTTACTCCGAACTCTTCTAGACACCCAAGGGCCTGGATTAGGTCAAGCTCCTCTTGAATGGCAGGGGGCCTATCTGCTATCAACTGTAAGCAGCACCTGCAGGAAACAAGATAATGGTTTAAAAAGCAGCAGCAACAACACAAGGTACAACAGTATGTTTATCTGAACCTTAGTTCATCCCAGGTACTCCTCCTGCTTTTTCTTACCTCACCTAATCCTCAAGGTGAGTCCAGGCAAGTATCAACCTTGGCTTCTGTACAAAGCCAGATAGAAGCTCCGGGAAGCGGAGCATTTTGTCTCTGGTTACACTGACACCGTGTGGCCACGTCACAACTATGAGTGCAAAGGCAGCAACTCTATCAGAAACCCATCTCTTTAAAAAGACAGAGTTTAGATCATGTCAATTTCCCTTCTAGGGAGAACAGGAATGTCTTGATTCTGCCTCAGTTTAGTCTCCCAGAAGAAGCAAAGCAATGGCATATTGCAAAGCGTCATCCTGTGAGGAAAAGCAAGAATCAGTACTGAGATAAACCTCAAGAGGCTGGCCAATCTGAGAGTAGGAGACGCCTAAAGAATATTTTAACCAATTTTTTTAAAACCCGGAGAAAGAGCAGGGAAGAGAATTTATTGAATGCACTTATCTTCTGAAAGGCAGAGGAGCCCTAGGTCGGGAGACTAGAAAGCACACGGGCAGCAAGAGCTAGGGATCTAGAAGTCAAGGTTGCCGGAAGGAGCCCAAGGGGCCTGAGAGACACTGCTCGGCCACTTCTGCAGCCGGTGGCAGTTCATTAGGCTCAGTATTCACATCTATACTGCTGATTATGTGTGGCTTCCATCAAGATTTCCAATGTACTTAACTCCAAATTCAAAAACTGCAGCTCTCAAAATTTCTACAATAGGCTCCTCCATGCTCACAGACTTACTACAGATGCCCAGATGGTCTTTTAAATGAAAAGAGAAATACATCAAAGTGGCAACTAAAAATTCAATGAAGTCAGAAAATGGAATGTCCTACAACTATCAGAAAAGAATGTAACAAGTCTGTAAGTGTGTACACAGAAAGACTACTAGAATATGTTGGAAAAGCAAGGTATAAAAAGGTGTGTGTAATTAGTAAGAAATTACTTGTCAGTTAAAAAAAAGAAAAGGACAACATTTGATAAACTGTTTTTGAAAGTACACATAAGAAACTGTCTTTAGAAACAGCTGAGGGGTGAAGTTTGGGGAACTAGAAGGAACATGGAAACACTGAGTTTTTGGACTGTGTGTCTGTTTTGGTTTCTTTAGAGAAAGCCAGCTAACACTCCTCTAGCCAGTGAGAGCACACAAGGCGTGGTGGTGTGCAGTGTAACTGAAAACACTGAGATGGGCACCCTGCAGCTCACAGGATGAGTGGTCAGTGCCAGCTTACACACGAGGGCGGCCCCAGGGGACAGAAGCCACGCGAGGGAAAGCGATGCAAAAAGGCCAGGTGTAAAGGAACTTTAAGAAATGCCTGCCAAACACGCTAGGGTCAGGCTCAACACCCTGCCTCAGAGGCTCACTGAGTTGATACTTTTATCATTTGAAATAAAAATAAAATACCTTGGGAGGAAAAAAAGATATGTTTACCACTTGAAGGACTCTGCCAGATTCAATAACATGGTTTGAGATAACCAGGTTCTTTCTAGGAAGGCCATCGCAGGGGATAAAGTGCAGCTCTCACTGCTGAGAGTGGGAGTAGGGGATAAATGTACATGGCTACCACAAGTACAACCAAATAAATCCCAAATGGTCCTACAATTTAAATGTGAGAAATAATCAAATATTAAGAAACAATACAAAGAACATTCTAGTGGACTTAGAAATTAAAGATCTTTCAAAGGATGACACAGAAGACAGAATAAGAAAAAGAACAGCAACTGAAAACTTTATAATTCTGAATAAAATCAGAAAGATAAGTCAATGTTGACAATGTTGTTAAAAAATCTAAGCCAAGCAAAGGGCAAATTCGAAAAAGAAAAAAGGCCCTAAGAATTAATAGTAAAAAGATGAACATCCTAGAAAAACATAGGCAAAACCCAGAAGTGTGTTTGAAAAGAAAAGGTGCACACACAAGCATCTCCTAGTTACAAACTGAAAGTCTGACAACCACAAGAAGGAGCCTCCAAAACTGTGAGCTCAAACTTACTTTTCGGTTAAGTGTCTCGCCTCAGGTATTTCATCACTGTAAAAAACAGACCAATACAAGAAACTTTCTAGAGGTTTTTAAGATTTGTCAAGGAGATATATTTTTTTTCTTGATCAATGTTTAGTAAACCCTTTTAATTTCCTAAAAACAATAAAACTAATTTCAAATCATGAGCAAATAGAAAAGATCAGCACAAGCTTGCATAACTGACTGTGGACATTTACATCCTGTCACACCTTCTTTCCAGTGTCACAATGGGTGGGCTCACAGAACAGCCAGGAAGAGGGCTGGGGCTGTTGAGCTCTGCCCCGGAGCCAGGTCAGCAAACGGAATGGCTACTCTGCGCAGGGCACAGGTGCACAGCAGTCAGATGTGAATCCTTCCCAACAGGTGGGGGTCAGCGCAAGTCCTCAGCAGAGCTCAAGGGAAAGGCGGATGGTCAGGAGGAAGTGGCTCGCAACCCACAGCCACTGCTTCTCCCTGCAGCAGTGCCCACCTGGCCAGGTCCATGCAGCTGTCCATGAGGCTGGTGGAGGAGTTGAAGTACTCCCTGCTGGCGCTCAGAACCAAGTACATGCTCTTCTCAGGGCCCAGCTGGTACTGCAGCCTCCCCTTCTGGGCCACACCAGCCGCAGCATCTGCTGAGCTGGTCCGACAGTGCATCAGCTGCCCGGCCAGCTGGATGTTCTCCAAGCGACTGGAGCACAGCAGGCTTTCAATAAAGATCTGGGAGAGAGGAAACCGGAAGTCGGGAAGGGAAGCCTCAAGTCACAAGAGGGCTCAGAATGCACACCCCTCACCAAGAGGCAGGAGTTCCCGCCACCATGAATATACTCACCTTGTACTCTGAATTTTTCCTCCATACTAAAAGGCATTTTAGGAAAATGAGAAACGATCTCACTGGGTAAACTAAAGCACAGTATTTAAGGTGTTAAATGAATACTTGAGTCGAGTATGTGAAATTTATATTCAGTGGAAACTGGGTCTGTTACACATAATGTCCCTCCTGCCACAGGGCCTGAGTGCTGGAACTCTAAGCGCCTGGTCTGATCCACATAACTTACAACTGTGTCAAAGCATCTGCATCCAGTCTTATAAACCTTACCGCTGAGCTACAGATGTCACTGGTGCACCTCCTCACAGAAGCTGCAACAGTATGTGGCGCTGATGTTAGATATTCATGAAAATATCATATTCTCCTTGACAAGAAATAGAACCCACTCAGATAAAATTTCTGGGGGATCAAAATTAGACCCTGAGCTCAGGGTCTTCACCCCGAGCTGCCTCCTCGGGAACCCAGGTCTCGCCTAGTCACCCAGCTGGGCTCAAACTTGCAGTCCTCCCACTTCAGCCTCTTGAGTGCCGGGATCACAGGCCTGTGCCACAGCACCCCACGTAAGATGAGCACTTCAACTGACAGTGCTTACAGACTCTCAGAAACGTGTGAAACAGCGTGTTTCCCAAGCCGACACTGCTGATGTTGTAATTGGTACAAGAGTGTCCCAAGGACAACTGCCCTGTTTTTCCACACATTGAGGACAGCACAGAAACTGAGAATGAAAAACAAAATTTCAGGGAAAATCAAGTTTCCTTTTAAGTAAGAAGAGCATTGGACTCCTTTATCATCCCTCCTTTAGCATTTCTGGACAAGCCTACATGAAAAGGAAAAAAGCAATCATGGTATTCAAGAGAGACCAGCTACAAGAAGACAATGTAACAGAAAGCAAATTACCAGTGAGCAGCCTGCATGGCATCTGTAGCCACTGGCAGCACATGTCACCCCTAGCTGGAGTGCCCCACAGGACTGCTGCCCCGCACAGCTCTGCTCACTCCAAAAAGCCAAGAACTGAGAGCGGTGCTGAGAAACCTGTGTGGGAGCCCAGACTGCACAAGCTCTTGCTGTCATGGACAGTGTGGATTCTGTCTTGTGAGATGCATCTCACATTTTTAGTTACAGCCCTGAGTTTATAATGTATTTCCCAAGGACACAAAGTCAAAAGGTAATAAGACAATCTAGCAATTTAAAAGAGAAAAAAAGGCTGCTTAGAACTCTACCGAGTCTATACCACCGTCATCTACAATCTTTCAAACTGTTAGGCTTCCAAACTGTTATGTTCTCAAAGACAAAGACTTATTATGGACAAACATCATTAACACACCAACCCTGAAAAAAAGGTACTAAAGTATTTGTAATGCAGTATGTCCACTGATTTTGAAAGAATACTTTCAAAATCAAAGCCAGGTATGGTGGGGCACACCTGTAATCCCAGCACTCAGGAGGCTGAGGCAGGAGGATCATTATAAGTTCAAGACCAGCCTTGGCTACAAAGAGAACTCCAGGCCGGCCTGAACTGCATAACTGCATAGTGAGACCCTGCCTCAGAAAGACAAAAAAAAAAAAAAAAAAAAAAAAAACCAACTCACTCAAGTGTAATATACCTCCTGCCAATTTTTTAGTCAGAATCAGAATTATAGTCACAATCAAGAAAATACCAAAATGTCATTCCAATGTTTAAAACAAAAAAAAAAAAAGCCCGATTTCTTATGTACAAGAGACAGCTAAGCTGAGTTCTGAAGCCTCCTCAGGACTTTCAAGCAGGAGAGGAGAATGTAGGCAGAGTCAGGAACCGGAAAGACAGGGCAGCAGGGTCGGGTGCACCTGAGGGCAGCGGGCAGCGGAAAAGGCAAAGGTGCGGCCATTTCTCTGTACGGAGCACGGAGACCCACACTTTCCTCTACTGACAACAGAACAAACAAGAACCCTAGGGAAGGCAGTGCACACAACGTTTTATTTCAGAAGAAATGCTGAGCACAAATGGGGCACTATGGGCAGGGCAGAAGGAAGCAAGCAGAGGCTAGTGTGATTTAGCAGAGATGCAAGAAGAAAGGATCAAGTCAGAACATTATTTCTGAGGTGCAGTAACTGAGCTGTCTGAGGGGCCTTCCCATGACCACCAACAGTGTGGAGGCGGGGGATGAGGATCGGCTTGCAGGGGGCTACCCTACTAAAGCCACTGCTGTAACAAAGAATAGAGAGATGGAGGTGGACACGGGAGTGCGCAGACAGCCCCACAGTTACCTCATAGCAAGCGTCGGCATCCAAACATGTGTACACTTCCCGCTGCATCGTGAGCATGTCCTGCAGCAGCGTCCTCCAGTGCAACTCGCCCACAGAAGGCTGCCTGCAGAAAAAGGGACAGCTCAGGAAGCGGCTCTCACGCCTCTTTCTTGGAGCGTGGTGGCCCCAGGGTTCAGTGAGGATAGTTCACTTGGACTCTTAGGGGACAGCTGGACCTCAGTGCCAGAGCTGCGACCAAGCCAGCCCATCATCAGCCGCTTGGACAGAACATCGGAAGAGTGTTACATGTTAAATGTGGGCTGAATGAGTGGGGTGTGTCCATGGTGGGACATAGCATAGGAGCGGGCACAGCTGGGAGGCCCGGGACAGCTGCTCCCAGCTCCACCTCTGCTCGCAGCTCCCAGGAGTTTCTAACCTCAGCAGAACTGTCAGGCCTTCGGCAGCCATGGGCCATGGCCACTGCCATACAGAGGCCTGGAACCACCACTCACCAGCAGGGCAATCAAAGAACACTGGTCACAGTCTGGAGTGCAACTCAAAGTACATGTCAGCCCAGGAGCAGAGCAACCAAAAGACTCTGCCCCACCTGACTCCGAGGCAGCTTCCTGTTCTGAAAGGCCCTGTGTCTTTTGCAGTGAGTCCATGGGCATGATTTCCAAGGCCCCCTTAGGGACCCACAAAGACTGCACCCCTGCAAGCCAAAGGCCTCGCCCTGCAGCTCTCCTGGTTCATTCACAGCCCTTCCAGCGCAGGGATGTACAGCCCCACAGGTCACATGGGCAGCGAGATCCCAGCACCCTGGCTGTGTTGCTCTGTGAAGTTACAGAGCAGGAAGTGCACGGTCAGACTCTTCTGCAGCAGGGGAGAGGGCTTTACTAATGGCCAGGCCTGGTGGCACCGCACGCCTGCAATCCCAGACTCTAGAAGGCTGAGGCAGGAGGATGGCAAGTTCAAGCCCAGCATGCACAACTTAGTGACTTGGTGAGATCCACTGGAAAACAAAAAGAGGGGTGTTGACCAATGGGCAGCCCCTGAATTCAATCCCCAGTACTACAAAGAAGAAAAAAGCAAGAAAGACTTTGCTAACAAGTCAGTCTAGTGGAGCAGTCCTACAGCAAATCATTTACTATTCCTGAATCTCACATTCTCTCTCAAAGCCCACCTCAGGGCCACCGCAGGAAAGGGTGAGGTCAACTCTGGTCAAACACAGGCATTGCAGGAAGACTCTCCGAAACAAAAAGTCAGCTAAGAGTTTCAGATTCCCTTTTTCTGAATTACAAGCAGTAACTCGTTCCAGAATCTGTAAAGAGATATGGTTTTTCTGGGTCATATTAAGCACCCAACATTTGTGAACCAGTCTAGCTGCAAACATTGTGTGCCTCCCAAGCTCCAAGCATGGTGACAAAGGCGAGGGGTAGGGTGGTCACAGCTCTGTGTGCCCTTGTTGCCTGGGAAGGCTGAGACCATCGTCCCTGTCTCCTGCACAGTCCTCAACTTCTCCACAACTATGAAATTCAACGCTCAAAAGGAGGAGATTGATTCTATTCTGTGTTTGCCATAACCAACTAAATGGTGCTTCTTCATAGATGTGTCTTTCTTTTACCTATGAAATATCTTTCAAAACATTACCACTTCTGTGCATTAAAAATAAAGTCAAAGCCTCTGTGTCTATAATAGTTATTACTATGGGAAAAGTATTGGAAAACATAATTTCAAGGATTTTTCCTCCCAACTTTTCTTGTTTGTTTGTTTGGACTTGGATATAAGCTCTAAATATGTTGCCAAGGCCGGCCTCAAACTCTCCGGCTCAAGTGATCCTCCTGACTCAGCCTTTCAAGTACCTGGAGCTACAAGAACATGCCGTTGTGCCCAGAATCGCCTGAAGTGTTTAATAAGCACATGCTTCACTTGCCTACAGCATTTTATATTACACAAAACACATTTACTCTTGCTCCATATGCAATAAGGCGTAAGAGAAAATGATTCACCAACATGCAAATATATAAAACAAATGGACAGATTTGCGAGTATGCTAGAATAATCCAGTGTTTCCCCTACTGTGACCTGGGTAGTTGAACTCTTTAGGAGGCCCCTTCAGACCGGTGTGCGGCAGGCAAGTCACAGCGAGCCTGACCAGGCAGCCTGATCAAGTCAGAGCTAGGCACCATCTCACTGAATCCAAGTCTCTCCGCACAGCTGCTCCTTGGGAGCCATCGACACAGGGACAGATGGCGGCAATGTGTTCACACACATGGCTGCCTGCGCGGAGGTTCTAATTAAAATAAATTATAACACATTATTTATAATGGCCCTTTTCAGAACACAGTCAGTAAATAAGAATCAAGAGCAGAACTCAAAGAAATTAAGCAAGGGGCTTGTCCTACACAAAGAGATTCCTAAACACAAACAGTGTTGGCCGCAGCTTTGGAGGGGAACTGCATTTTCCAGGGAGAAACAATATTGCACTCAAAATGGTAAAACCTGAATTTAGGACAGATTAGAATAAGTAGAAGACTGGAGCCTCAAAGGCCCAGCCACAGCACATACACAAAACAATCAGGGCTCATTTCCAGTGGGCTGCTTTGAAGGGGGGCAAAATTCTCACCCGTTTTCAGGCAAGGGATCCTCAGGCATGGGAATGCACTGAGCGGAAGGGTGGGAGACTGCAGCACCCACAGGCCTTCCACTAGGAGCAGCCCACGATCACGCAAACATGAATAAGTGGCACAGCGACTGCAGAGCAGCCTAAAGCAGTAGAACCCTCTGGTTATAGGTGTGTGAAGGCATATCATGGAGCTATTGAGTGAATGTCCCTGCAGAGTGTGGAGGCCATGACCTTGCCATGGGGTGGGGTGGAGTGGGGCAGACGTAAGGCTCCTGTGTCACTAAGCATCTTCAAGGCTAGGGGACTCTTTGGGAGCTGGGCACTGTCACTCTTTGGGAGCTGGGCAGGCGCAGGAGAGAAGGTCAGAGCACAGAGCAGTAGCAAATCGCAGAGAGAAAAGTCACACAGGCTTTCCTAGAAGACGCAGAGCGAGCTCCTAAAGACACGTAGGTAGGGATCATGCTGCTTTAGGAGTACTTGACTTTTCTTTTTAAAAATTTATTTATTTATTTATTTATTTATTTATTTATTTATTTGGGGGGTACCAGCGATCAAACTCATGACTGCGCGCTTGCAAGACAGGCACTTGTACCACTGAGCTAAATCCTTAGCCCTTTTTTTTTTAAATTTAGATTAAACTGTAATGCTAAACCCCTAAAAACCAAACATACACTGTATGTTTCAATTTTCTCTTGCAGAGTCCTGATTATTTCACCCTGGGCCTGTGAACCCACACGTATAGCACTCTTGCCTAAGGCGAGGGGGTTTCCCCAAGGTTCCCTGTGACAGACCGAGGATGGAAGCTTCTTGCGGCCACCTGGAAGCCTGAGCCAGCTCTTGTCCACTGCAGATGCCGATGGCCCTCTCGTATCAGCACCTTTGTCAACATCCCCACCCCTGCCATCATAGTGCCCACCTCTGAGCTTTGCTACTACAAAACTACAAGGTCCGACCATGCTGGCTTGCTCACTGAGCACTGTGGTAGCGCCTACCTTGAAATGCCCTTCAGATTCATTGCTAGTTATTGTGCAGGGTGGTCCATTGGTGCTTAGGGAGCCCCTGAGACATCTGTGAGAAGCTGGAAATCTCTCCAGCCTGACCAGAAGCACTGTATCTCTTTCTTACTCATGAGCCTCGCATCAAGAATGACATCAAGGCAAAGCCATTTGTGTCAAAATCTATAGTTCACAAAACATGCACACAGGGATGTGAACAAAACTTCACAAGTAAATGTGTGATTAAGAAACGTGAATATTAACCAATGCCTTCAGGTTCCCTGTCTCTCTTTTAGCAGGCTCTAAAGGAAGTACCAAAAAGAAACAGCAAAATTGCTAACTTCATTAGGATAAATTACTACTTTAGATGATGACAACCAAGAGACAAAAGTCAATGTAGATACAAATGTTCTAGTTTTTAAAAGTTTACTATCTTTGCACACACTCTGTTAAAAACACTGAGCACCCTAAGGATAGTGAAGAATAAAAATGAGAAAGTGGTTTATTTCACATATCTTTACTGAAGGACCCAGGAAATTTTCTCTGACCTCCATCTCTGCCTCAGTCACGATGCTAGGACTGAACAAAGTCTCCACACAGATGCCACCCACTCAAGTGCACCCATGTGCTGGGATCCTCAGGGATGCAGAGAGGAAACTGCTCCATGTGGGGTCACACTCATTCTGCCTCTGCTTGGAGGGATGCACACACACACAATCTCCTAAGGTCGAACTTAGAGATATTCTCTAACTCAGCAGTTCTACCTACTGTAGGCAGGTATTCAAGAAAAGCACATAAATGTATTAAAAGACCACTGCTTGGTGTGATGGCACAAGCCTGCGATCCCAGCATTTGGCAGGCCAAGACAGGAGGATTACAGCCACAAAGTTCAAAGTGAGCCTGATCTACAAGCCTGACCTGTCTCAAAACAATGAAAAAAATTTAAAAATAAAAGGTGGTTAAGTACAAAATGATTCACAGCAGAAATAGTAATAACAAGCAAAACTTGAGAAACAGTCTGAAACTGTTACAGGTTACACAACATGTTACAGTCACAAAATGAAATACTTCATGATAAAGAGAATGAGTAAATTAATATAATATTATGAGCCCGTGTTACAGTGTGAATGGGGAAAACCTCAAAGAGGACACAGTATCAAATTTGTTTCTATAAAGTAACAAGAAGTGAGTGATGGCTGTGAAGGAGGCCACAAGCTCAGCCCTGGTGACAGACACACACTGTCCTGTGCAACCTGCTACTCTGCAGCCTCCCTTCACCCCAATCCCACACACAGGCAGCTCTCCATACTCAGGATAAGAGGACTGCAGAAAAACTACCTGAGCTAATAATATGTACAGTAGGAATAACGGATCTGAAAAGAAGAAATCAATTCCACTCATAGCTGACTCAACAGGCGATAAATGTTACGAAATGAGCCTGAGACATGCACACTGCGTACCACAAAATCATCAGAAGAAATGAAAGGCCCACGTCAATGGAAAGGCATGCCGTGTTCACGGAGTGGAAAAATGAATAATGCTATGGGAAAGAAATACTCCTGAAATTGGACTACAGTGATCCCTGCAAAATCCTGGATGACAACACTTGACAGGCTGATCCTAAAGTTCATATGGTTGTGGGAAGCTAAACAAATATAAAAATGGGAAACAAAGTCAGGAGTCTAATATTGCCTGGTTTCAAGACTTACTATAAACCTACAAAAACCAATACAGTAAAGTATAGGAAGAAAGACAAATAAATTAATGGAGCAGAATAAAAATGCAAAAGTAGGCCAGATGTGGAGGTGCACACCTATAATCCCAGCACTCAGAAGGCTGAGGCACGAGGATTGCCATGAGTTCAAGGCAACAGCATTTTCAAGAAATGGTGTGGGACTATTCAAACAGGAAAAAACCTTTAACCTGTATTTTGAGCAATAAAGAAAATTAACTCTCAAAGTGGATTAAGAATCTATAAGTATAAAACTAAAAATTTTGCTAGAAAAGCTTAAAGGCAAACATTTCTAGATTAACAAAAGCACTATTAAAAAAGAGCAAACGAAAAAGAATTCGATTTTTAAGTACAATTTTAAAAGACACAGGTCAGAGCAAAGAATAAAGGGAAGGAATAGCTCCAAAGCACTTATGTAGCAAGGAACAAAGACAGTGATCGCACAAGCAAACTCACAGCTCAATAAGAATGCAAACAGTCCAGCTTTTGAGAATGGGCAAAGAACAAATGCAGCTGGAGATGTGCTTAGAGAGGGAGCTCCCTCATCATTATAGAAATGCAGTTAACACTAAACCCGAAGGTCACTACACACCTATGAAAATCACCACCCTTAAGAGACTGACTGACCACTCCTGGGTGCAGATGAGGACATGGAGCCACTGAAACTCTCCTCAAGGCCAGTCACAGAGGGAAATGGATGACACCTTGAAGAGCAGTGGGCCGGTTCTGCTGCTGCTGCTCCTCACACGCACAGGACCACCCCCCCACCCCACCCCACCCCACCCCCACCCCCGCACTCTGCACACAGGGCTTATCCGGGAGAAAGGCGAGCACGAGCCCACATAAAAACTGACACACAAATAGTCATGGGGGCTGCATTTGTAAAAGTCAAAGCCTAAAACAACCCACTGTCCTTAAACACAGGTGAGATAAATCTGTATATCATTCAGCAAGAAGCCACTGATTCATGACATGACATGGATGAAAACAATGACTTTGAGCATCAGAAGCCAAATGAAACAACAACATCCACTCACACCAACCCAGAAGATGTGAAGCGGTGCTTGAAGGGCTGGGAAGAGATCTGTGGTGGCAGCTGGGAGGTCAGGTTGATGACAACAGGGTACAGCAGGGGGAGGGGGGATTAGAAAGAAGAGGGGCACGGAGGGAGGCAGGTGTGCCTGTGCAGCACACCTGTGCAAGTCTGCGCTCACACACATCACGACTGACCAAATGGAGCCCCCACCCCAGTAGGCGCGGCCCCTCACTCGCCAGCTTTAATTCACCCACGGGGCTGGAGAAGAACAAAGCAACGCTGAACCCGGACCCCCTCGCGCCCGAGCAGCTCAGGAACTCACTTCCGGCCTGTGTGCCTGGCCAGCCTCACCATCAGCCTGCGCGCCTCCTCCATGTCGCACTGCGTGTCTCTCACGAAGGAAATTGGCTTCTCCAGTCCATGCTTCTCCAGAAGCTCTGACACGCTGCAAGTGCAAGAGGAATTGGTAAAAATCCTGCTGCCAAACAGAGATAGTCAAGAAGCTGAAAGCATCTAAGTGATACGTTGGTGTCTGGTACTTTTTAGGGTTAGGGTATCATACATTACAACACGACTTCACACATGTATTACATTAATTCTCACTAACAACAGGGCTCATAATTACAAATCAAATCTTGTTTTTCCCTACTGGCATTACTTTTAATTTTAAAATCTTATTTACTTTATTAGTACATGTCTGCCATATATAATGATGATAGCCATCGTATTCCCATTTCCCTTCTCTGCTTTTACTTTTCTAACGTTTCCATTTACAAAGCTTTGTTTTCATTTTTGTCTTTTGTATATATTCCTGGACTAAATAACATATTCTTTAAAGGATGATGTGTCTGTCTCAAAAATTACCTTTCATAAATTCTCTGTTCTCAAAGCACCAGTCAGTAAAACAAGTCAAATGGATAATTTTGATACCCAGTTTTAACTTCACACCTACAAACAAGGCCACAAGGCAGCTGGAAAAGCAGGGAACAGAGCATCTCAAAGGTGAAAAGCCTGGCCACTCAGCTGGCTCCATCACCCCCAAGAACAGTCAGTCAGTATAAAAATGCCAGTGTGCCACATATCCCAGGTCTCAGGGTCTCCAAGACCTCCCATCCCATTACTGTGAGATCACACACCCTGGGCCAGCTCACCAAAGCTCACCACTTAGGAACTGCCCTCGACAGGGCAAGCGATCAGATTCATAACTCGGCCAAGATAGGTTTCACCTGATGTTATGCATAAGAAAATATTTACCATTATGTGTGCCTATGAGAAGAAACAAGAATAAAATCTCTCTTTGGTCTTTCTTTCTTTCTTCTTTTGAGAGGGGTTATTTTGTTTTTAGAGACAGAGTCTCACTATATAGCTTAGGATCGCCTTGAACTCACTTTTGTAGCCCAGGCTGGTCTCGAACTCATAGAGATCCTCCTGCCTCAGGCTCCCAAGTATTGGGATCACGCCCAGTGAAAACTCTTATTCTAAAATGTCATCATACTACACTGAGCAATGACTACCTATGGCAGGACATGACTGTCTCACTGAGCTACAGACGTGATCATCAGGATGGGCCCTGGTCATGGGGATGCAGTGAAGTAAATCATGCCTGTGTTTCTCTAGGTCTTGCTGAGCTCTCTGGATCCCTAGGGGTCCAGGTGACTTTCAGACCTGTGCATGATGACCATACTGACTCAACCACTAAGCATCACTCAAGAGACACTGGGGCTTGCTGGGGTGCTGAGCAGGGCGGGATGAGCCAATTCATAAGGAAAAGGCATACACAGCATTTTCACAGCAGAGTAACAAGAATCAGGCCAGCAATGAACAGAAGTCCTGGGGAAATGAAGAGCTCCTTCTCCACGTGCTCAGACTGTGAAACACAGAAACACTCAGTTTCCTTAAATACAACTCACAATGTTTTCAAACCTTCATCAAGCAAATAAAATTGCTTTGTTTACTGAACTCCAAATTGTATTGTACTATACACATTACTGGTACAAAAGCTATGTTATGTATAATTTGTATAGCTATATAGAATAGAGTTTTTAATTCTAATTTTTTATTTATGATACTTAAAAATAATACACTAGGACTGGGGATTTAGCCCAGCAGCATAAAATGCCTGCCTGGCAAGCACAAGGTCGTGAGTTCACTATCCAGTACTAAAATAATAATAATGATAATGATAATATACTTGTATGCATAAATTAACTAAAACAAACAACTTTAGATTTCCTAAATGTCAAATGAGGACTATTTCAGTCTTCCAGACAGCAAGCTCAGTTTCACTATAACGGTGAAGAACCTCAAACTAGTTATAGGCAGGTTCTAGACAGTCCAGAACATCTAAGTAGTTGATAAACATGAGTCCCCCAAAAGGCACGAGTGCAACAACAACAACAAAAAAAAGTGTGCCCTATAGTTGCAGCAACTGCTGCAGAAATTAAATTTTCCTGTGAGGGGCTTAAATGCTGGCTCGCATATAAATCTGTGATTCTCTTGAGTGAGCTGTTACAGCAAAGGAAACCCCGGCTTCACAGGCCGCTCCACCAGCATATGGCGAAGGCAGATCTGAACATGTGCCTCTCACTGCCACTACACCACGGCAAGGTGAAGGACAGCCACCCGGACCAGGTCCAAGAAAGCTGACACAGCCCCTACCCACACCTAAGAATCCGCTCCAGCTGGTCCACCATGTCATGAAGAGCTGAGGTCGCTTGTGTCTTCTTACTAAAGAATAAAGGAAGAGAAAATTAAAATTAATTCTGATAAAATACAAGCTCCTATAAGTGGGGAAATGACATTTCTCCAACTCTTCACCCGTGACACAGCTACACTGCAGGGCAGTGTCAGGCTTGTGCAAGTCCACTCCACAGTTTGCATGTGCAGCAGAAGGAGATGGAAGAGCCTGGAGCAAAACAATGCCTACCGCATAAGACGGGGAGCTGTGTTTCCTGACATGCTCTACTGCCACTTTTTGAGGCCAAAAAGAATTATGCATCAGCTGCTGTCATTTTATCTCCTCACAAGCAGCACAGGGCAAGCCCACTGCTGATCCCTGCTGCTCTGGCCGCCAGCGAGGCGGATGGGGATACACGGTCCTGCCACTGGCCTTCCCCTAGGCCTTGCAGCCCCACCGTGCACTCCCATGGTGTCCTTGGGGTTGTGGACACACAGCTCAGGGTGCCCTGCCACCCACAGCTGCCTTGGCCGTGAAAAACCAGGGAGCAGCAGAGACGTCGGAGAGGCTGTGAACACAAAAATCAAACCCCAGAGGAAGCCTGGGCAGCAGACTCAGAACCAGTATCAAGACAGAGGCCACAAACAAACAGACTGTCCCAGGGCAGGTGTCCCAGGAACACCGCCCTGAGCAGGTTACTTGCAGAAAAAGCAGTAGCTGCAAGTGGCCCTTTGGTTCCCAAGGGAGACACTCTGGCCCTAACTGGCTTCTGAGAACCCGCCAGCTGAATTCCAGCAAGGCCTCAGGGTCTGTTAACACAAAGCCCCAGTAAAAATCTGTGCCAGATTTGGGCATTTGTTAATGCCCTAATGTAAACACAATGCCTCCTCACTGTTACAATGGTCAGTCTGCCCTGGTTAGTTCTGCAAGATGCTAGTGAGTGCGGCTTACACAGACTATGCTGTCTTTCTGAACCGTGTTTCACCCTGAGCCACAGGGCTAAACGAGTAGTCCACTAATGGCCTTCAACAGGGCATTCACCAGCATGACTTGCAATGAACTACTCACTCTGTAGTCGAGGGTTTCACATTATCATTCTGCAGCATTCGTCACACATAGTGAAGAACACAGTGTATTTCCATCACAGTGATTGCAATCGTAAGTGTACACCTAAAGACTTTTCAGCCAGATGGAAACTTTTAACAGTGATTGTCCCTTCCAGATGGGAGCTGGAAGTCAAAGGTTTCACCCCATGGATTTAGGAACAAGAGAAGGCATCATGCCGTTGGAGGAAGCACTGGGCTCCCTCCAGGCCACTGAGGAAGGACTGCTAACCGCTGCGGCTCACTGGGTGCTGTTGGGAGGGAACCCTGAATGCAGCCATGCCGTGGACAGTGGGATGCTTTTATGCGGTGGGAGGTGACCCTGTTACAAAGCCGCACTGATGCGCTCTCTTTTTCTGCCCCTCTCTGTCTACCTAAGGCCTCGGTTCTCGGAGTCTTGCTGGCCCCCTGCCAGTGGCAACCTGTGACTGGTCACATCTGCACAGTAACAAAGATGCTGGGTCTGCCTGCACTCATCTTCCCTTGTGTCAGGTCCCCAGCTGAATGAGACAGGCAGAAGGACTCAGCACAATCTCACACACCATCTAGCTTTGCCTTTACCAAAGGCCCATGCTTTCTTTCTATTTTTTCTTAACTTAAAAGTGATAGAAGGAATAGAAATGGAGAAGAGAATGGATTTCTGAAAAGGAAGTCAACAGTGATCTAAAATTGAAAAATCAACAAACATGAGCATCATATTTTAAAGGAGGCAGGCAAAGATGAAAAATTATCCATCAAAGTATCTGCTCTTTTGAAGATGTTTTTAAGGATAAAGTAGGTAACCATCTAATATCCATGATAAACTTTACAGCTGCTTGACCTCAACTTTTTTATGCATCATATTTAAAAATTAGAAAGGGGACTTCTGGGAGAACATGGCAGATAGATAGCAGCAGCTTTGGAGGCTCTCTAAGAAACTGCACTTAAAATCCAGGAATGGTGCCGGGCGAGAAGTCCTAAGCAAGGGGAGATATACTTTGCCGACCCAGGAACAAACTACACTAAGAAACCAACTGGAAACGCAATCCCAGTGATATAACAGAAACAATAAGGTCTCAGTGCAGAAGCTGGGGCCCGTGCCACTGGAAGCCGCGATTTGAATTTCCTGCAGCCGCTGCTGCGTACCAATCAGCACAGCAAGGAGAGAGGCACGAAAGCTCTGAGAGTGGGAAGCGGTGAATGGAGTTGAGAGCGAGAACGGCCAGGAGCCCTGCATCGACCTGTGGTGAGTGAGCGGATCGGGGACACTTCCATAGAGTAGGAGGCTTCAGCAAAGCTTCCTACTATTGGGACTGGGCAGACTAGCCAGAACAGGGCGCTGCAGTGACCTCAGTCACATATTCCCCTCTCAAGCGGGATTGGTGGGGAGTGCCTGACTTGGGTGACACCGCTGACCAAGAGCCAGTAAGCTAGCCCAAACCAGGTCCCAGAGCCTGGAGGTGCACCCTAGTAGTGAAGCCTTCGGTAGGTTGACCTGGAGGGGCGGGCCCAGCATAGGCTGCCCAGGTCTGTGTCTCCCTAGTACACTGCAGTGGGCAGGAACACCTAGCTGGCGCAATTCAAACAAACTGTAACTGACAAAGAAAGAAACTGGGTCTCCTATATACACTTGTATAAAAGGAAAAAAAAAGATGGGAAGAAGGAGCAACAAGAAAGGGTCCTTGGCCCCCAATCCTGAGAAACATGCAATAGCAGACACGGCACCAATAGACATAAAGTGCTATCTCCAGAGCCTCATAGTTATTAACAACCTGAAGCAAGATATAAGCAGAATAGTTAGAGAAATGCTAAGCACCACACAAGAAAAAACAGATGGTGGAATGGAAGAACAGAAAAAAAGGGGAGAATTCTTTGATGGAGAAAATAGAGAAAACATAGAATATGTGAAGCAGGTTCAAAGAGATTACCAGGAAACTAAAAACTCTATCGAAAACTGACATAACAGCTTAAAAGAAACTAAGGATAGATTATCTGAACTGGAGGGCAGATTTGTAATGTGGGAGCATGAAATGAAAAACTTCTTAAAAATGACAAAAAAACAAACAGCAACAATACAAAGGCTAGAAGATGATAAGAGGATCTATAACTTAAGAATTAAGAACATAAAAGAAGAATTAGGGACACAAACAAATGGACTACAAAAGCTATTCACAGAAATAATCCAGGAGAATTTCCCTAATTTAGCAAATGGTAAAGATACTCAGATGTATGAGGCATACAGGACCCCAGCCACCTACAACCCAAACAGAACTACACCCAGGCATATAATAATCAAAATTCCAGAAATCCAATATAAGAAAAGAATATTAAAAGCCATCAGAGGCAAGAAACAGATCACTTACAAGGGAACACCCATCAGAATTACAGCAGACTTCTCAGCACAAACTATCAAAACACCAAGAGTGTGGGGGGAAATAATTCAAGCTTTGAAAGATAATAACCTCCAGCCAAGATTGATATATCCTGCACAACTGTCCCTAGAAATTGATGGAAAAACAAGGTGCTTCCAGGATAAAGAGGAACTAGGGGAATTTGCAAACACCAATTCAACTCCACAGAGAACACTGCAGAATATTCTAAAAAAGGAAAATACCAAGATTCCAGAAATAGTGGCAGAGCGGCCGCAATGAATGGAGCAGAAAGCGAAATGAAGAAGACAAACTGACAACAAACGACAGAAAAAGAGCTCAACAGAAATGAGGCAGAGAAGATTGGATGGTAGGAACAGCTATTTTGGAGAAAACAAAACATCATAATAGCTAGTGCTAATTTAGTATCATCTTGTTTTGAAGTCCCATCAAACTTGTATTCTTCTGTTTCCATCGGTCTTACAAGGCTGTATCTTATTGGATTTTATTATATATAATAATATAAGCAAAAACTTTTATAGACAAGGAGATTATACAGAAACCATTGTTCATTTTCTGTTAATTGATTCTAAATACCCTGTAATAATGTCATTCTTTTGAATGGTTTTATAGTGTCTTGATATGTTTGGTGCTACAGTATAAGAAGTTATACTCAAAGATTTCAAGGAAAGAGACACTATGGTAACTATTTTTATGTCAGGGTATCTTGTGGTGAAGCACTATTTTGCTTAAATGGTTATGTTTTGACCTGCACTGTTCTGTTGTTATGCCCTCTCTTATCTCAATCTTCCCTTTTTTTAATTATTTACTTTTTTATTTTTATCTTTTTAATTAAGGGAAAAATAAATAAAAAATAGCAGGATACATTATAGTAACCTACTTTGATTTCCTCTAAACTTGATTTGAAATCCTGTATTGCCCTCACCATCTTGTTTTGACTGATTTTCCCCTATTCTGCTTAGCTAGATAGTACCAAGTTCGAAAGTATAGGCAACAACTGTGAAGACAATAGGATTCATTATGACGCCCATTCTGGTTGACTATTATCTTCTTTTAAAGTCCTGTAATGTCTCCAATGCTTTGGTTTTATTCTTTACTGTTTTGTTCAATTTTATTATAGCTGGCAATTCTTAAAATAGCAAGAGGCAGTATGGTAACCATTGTTGATCACCTTGTATTTTGTTTTTACATTATCTATTATGTCCTTTTGATTTGACGGACTCTGTTCTGATATGTCGCATTTGGTTTTACTCTCTTCAAAATAAGTAGTAAGAACTGTGGGAGTAATAAAACCCAAAGTGTATAATTGTCATTGTACAAAAGAAAAGAAAAGAAAGTGCTCTAAAGGTTATAACTGCATAAGTTATAACTGTTTAAGTGTATAAGATAGATAACCATATTACTGAGTTTTTTTGGATCATTAAACAAAACTGTTTGCACTCTCACTGTTTGAAAGTCCACTTTATATGCTTTAATTTTGTAACTTGAACAACTATTTCTAAGATGAAAATATGTAATCTATTAACTAGTGATTTCTTACTGTTTATTTTTTAAATTTTGTATTACTTGTACCCTTTTGCTGTTTTCTTTTTCTCCTTAAAAAAAAAAAATTAGAAAGGGACTGCATCCCTTTGGACTCCTTTGTTTTGCAATTACACCTGTCCAACAATCTGGTTTCCTAACTGTCACTAACTTTCTATAGCAAAGAAGATCAAGTAACTTATAGAACCTGCATTCTGCACTTGCTGCTTCCTTCATGGTGTTATAAAATGTGATCTTCTATTCTCTGTAGTAACTAGAAGCCCAGCCCATAGATTAGTGAGATTCAGGTGAACAATTTCAGTGCAACTGCCTGGAAGGGATGCTGCAAAACCAGCAACTCGTGCCACTCTGCATCAGGGCACATATCATCAGGTGGTCTGGCCATGAGGAATGCCATTTTGATTGGTTAGAATAATGACAGTCAAACCTCAATTGACCAATTTCACCTTCAAATTTTTTTTAACCTTTAAAATCAGAAACAAAAAAAAAAGTAAGTTTCTGGAATAAGATTCTGTTAACATGCAAATTAATCTTTAACCATTGGACTTTGGGGCCAAGATGGCGACCGGAACGGGCACTGGGGACTCCGGGAGAACATGGCGGACAGACAACAGCAACTACTGAAGGCTCTCTGAAAGGCTCGGCTCAGAGGCCAGGAATGATGCGGACTAAGGAGATATGAACCAGTAGAGATATGCTCTGCTGACTCAGGAACGAACTGGGATGAGAGAATCCAACTTAGGATACAGTCCTGGCGCTAAAACAGGAACAGAAAAGACTCGGTGTAGAGGCTCGACCCCGCGCCGTTGGAAACCGCGATTTGGGTTTCCCGCCGCCCGGCGGCTGGCTGCCTCCACAGCGGCTCGGCAAGGAGAGACGCGCCGAGCTCTGGGAACGGGCGTCTGTGAACGGAGTCGGAAACAGGACGGACAAGGAGGCGTACACAAAAACTGACTGGTGGCGAGGTGAGTGAGAAACTGACCCCCTACCACAGTTTGACTCCAGCGGAGGTTTTTCTGGGCTCAGGCAGTCCTGTAAGAGCAGGGCGCGGTGGCAACTCCAGCCACACATTCCCCTCTCGGACGGGATTGGTGAAAAGTGCCTGGCCTGAGTGACGCTGCTGGCGGACTCCCTAGGCTGGCCTAACCCAGATCCCAGAGCCAGACGGTGGCCCGGAGGAGCGACTGACTCCCGCGTAGGCTGCCTCCTCCGCAATTCCCTGGTGCGCAGCGGTGGGCGGGAACAACTAGCCAGCGCAATTTGATCAGGCTGTGGCTGACAGGCAGGGAAGCCGGGCCTCCCATGTAAGCTTGCATTTTATAAGGAACAGAAAATATGGGGAAGGGAAGCAACAAAAAAGGCTCCTCGGCCCCCAATCCTGAGAATCAGGCAATAGTGGACACCGCACCAATATACATTAAGCGCCATATAGAGAGCCTCATAGACCAATTCAGGAATGAAGTTATCAATGACCTGAAGCTAGAAGTATGCAGAATAGTTAGAGAAATGCTAAGCACCACCCAGGAAAAAGCAGATGGTGGAATGGAAGAAAGAAAAAGAGGGGAGAATTGCTTGATGTAGAAAACAGAGAAAGCATTGAGTATGTGAAGCAGGTTCAAAGGGACTATCAAGAAATTAAGAAGTCTATCCAAGACTGGAATAAAAGCTTGAAAGAAACTAAGGACAGACTATCTGAACTGGAGGGCAGACTTGAAACATGGGAGAATGAAATGAAAAACTTCTTAAAAATAACAAAGAAACAAACAGCAATAATACAAAGACAAGAAGATGATAAGAGGAGCCATAACTTAAGGATTAAGAACATAAAAGAAGAAGTAGGGACACAAACAAGTGAACTACAAAAGCTACTCACAGAAATAATCCAGGAGAATTTTCCTAATTTAGCAAAAGGTAAAGATGCTCAGATGTATGAGGCATACAGGACCCCAGCTACCTACAACCCTAACAGAGAAACACCCAGGCATATAATAATAAAAAATTCCAGAAATTCAATACAAGAACAGAATATTAAAAGCTGTAAGACACAAGAAACAGATCACTTACAAGGGAACACCCATCAGAATTACAGCAGATTTCTCTTCACAAACCATCAAATCACGAAGAGCATGGGGAGAAATAATTCAAGCTTTGAAAGATAATAATCTCCAGCCAAGATTGAGATATCCTGCACAACTGTCCCTGGAAATTGATGGAAAAACGAGGTGCTTCCAGGATAAAGAGGAACTGGGGGAATTTGCAACCACCAATTCAACCCTACAGAAAGTATTGCAGGATATTCTAAAAAAAGAAAAATACAAAGAACCCAGAAATAGTGGCAGGGAGGCCACAACGAATGGAGCAGAGAACAAAATGAAGAAGACAAACTGACAGCTACTGACAGAAAAAGAGCTCAACAGAAATGAGACAGAGAAGATTGGATGATAGGAATAGCTTTTTTTGGAGAAAATGACATCTTAATAGGTAATGCTGATTTAGTACCATCTTGTTTTGAAGTCTCATCTAGCTTTTGTTCTTCTGTCTCCAATGGTCTAAACAGGTTGTATCTTATTGGATTTTGTTATGTACGATAGTATAAGCAAAAACCTTTTAAAGACAAGGAGATTATACAGAGACCATTGTTCATTTTCTGTTAGTCGATTCTAAATACTCTATAATGCTGTCATTCTCTTAAATGGTTTTACATTGTTTTGATATACTTAATGCTACAGTATATGAAGTTGTACTCAAGAACTTCAGTGAGGGAGTCAATATGGTAACTATTTTTGGGTCAGGATTATCTGGTGGTGAAACACTATTCTGCTTAAATGGTTATGTTTTGATCTGCCCTGTTTCGCTGTTATGCCCTCTTTTTTCTCAATCTCCACTCCATTATTTACTTTTTTATTTTTATCCATTTAATTAAAGGGAAAAATATAGCAGGATATAATATAGTAACCCACTTTGACTCTCTATTATCTCGATTTGAAGCCCTGTATTACTCTCACCATCTTGTTTTTGACTGAAGTTCCTCTATTCTGTTTTGCTGGATAGTATCAGGTTCGAAAGTTTAGGCATCAGCTGAGAAGATAATGAGATTCATTATAACGCCCATTCTCGTTGACTTTTATCTACTTTTGAAGACATACAATATCTCCAATGTTTTGGTTTTGTCGGTTTTATTCTTTACGGTTTTGTTCAATTGTATTACAACTAATGATATAGGCAATTCTATTAGAAATAGCGGGAGGCATTATGGTAACCATTGTTGATCACCTTGTATTATGTTTTTATATTATCTATTATGTCCACCCTTTTGACTTGACCGATTCTGTTCTGTTATGTCACATTTGGTTTTACTCTCTTCCAAAAAAGCAATACGAACCGTGGGAGCAATGAAACCCAAAATGTGTAATAGTCACTGTACAAAAGAGAGGAAAAGAAAGTGCTCTAAACTATATAACTGCATGTATATTTAAATGTATAAGATAGAAAATGATATCACAGAGTTTTATTGGATCATTGAACAGAACTGTTTGCAGTATCATTGTTGGAATGTCCACTCTACAAGCTTTAATTTTGTAACTGGAACAATTATTTCTAAGATGGCAATATGTAATCCATTAACTAGTGATTTCCTACTGCGCATTTTTTTCTTCTGTAAATCTGTATAACTTGTACCCCTTCACTGTTTTTTTTTCTTTCTTTTCTTTTCTCCTTAAATAAAAATTAAAAAAAAAAAATCTTTAACCATTAATCTTTCACCTGATTTCAGTACTATTAAGACTACATGAACAATTATTTCACAGTGATTATAAAAGTGATTGCTATCATTTGTTTCATAAAGAAAAGAGTTTTCTTGAAAGAAGACAAGGCAGAGCCGGGCGTGATGGCTCACATCTGTAATCCTAGCACTCGGGAAGCTGCGGCAGGATTGTTGTGAGTTCAAGACCAGGCTGGGCTACGAAGTGAGCTCAAGGTCAGCCTGAACTGCATAGAGAGACCCTACCTCAAAAAAAGGAAGAAAAAAAGAAGACAAGGCAATATGAAAAAGGGAAACAGAAAACAATAAAGAAATTTCTTGTCTAATTTTTTTTTTGTAAATGAAGAAACTGATAAGCAGAAAAATTAAGCAACTTGGTTAGAATCACAAATGGTTAAAGTAGGTTGGATTTTTTCATTCAGTGCTGTTTTATGTGTTGCAAAGATCATATATTCTTCTCCAGATGCTGAGTTTATAACATGTACTAGATTTAAAGAGTAGAGGAATAATGTTATTTGCTTCCAAAGAGAAAATAAAATTTGAGTTGCATACAACTAATCCAAAAGCATGTTATATAAATTTCCACTGAAACAAAAGTTATTTAAAAATTATATTCATCCATCACTACTTAAAAAGATTACTATAAGGACTGACCTAGAACACACAAATCACAAATACCATTACCTTACAAATACAGAAAGCACTTAATTAAAAATGCAACTTAAAGGCAAATAAATCACTATTAATCCATTTTTAATAGGATTCTTTGTTGTGGTGGTGGAATTTTTTGCTTAAATGGATAATTATCAAGTTTAGCACAATTATAGCAAAGCAATTATAATTACACTAAAAATTCAGAATTTCTCATATATTGGTAAAAGAATAGGAGTTTACTAGCAGACAATAGGGTAGCTCATGATTTTATTTTCTTTTTTATACTTTCTAGCCATCTGCTGTGCTGAACATCTGGGAGAGCAACGTGCTAAGGTTCGGGTGGAAGGGCGGCATTGCTTACCCAGGCCCTCTCTGTGGCAGGCACTCCAGGATGCCATAGCAGAGGGGGAGCTGGTTGCTACGCCCGCAGCTGTAGATGCACTCGAGTGCCGTGGCCATCAGCTGGTCCTGATCGGGGATAATTTTTTGTTGGAGCTGGGGAAAACAGAGCATGTACTGAATGTCGAGAGATTTACAGGCTCTCCCTATCCAAGTACTATTGTCAATGGAATATTAAACACTGCAATTAGCCACAGAAACAATTTTGATTTTTCTTTAGCTTACAGACCTTGGGGTCTCTAATAATTCTAAATGGAATCACACTTTAATTACAGAATCAGCTAGAAAAGATCATTTGTAACCCATAGCTTTGCATCTGCCGAAAACATTATGATCCACTCAAGATAAAACAGAAAAGCACAATGCATTCGAAAGGCAATTCATTAAAAACACCATTTCTAACCCTAAAGCCAAATTCTGTGTTTTAATTACAAAAATACACAAAATTCCTTAACTTATATTCAACAATGTGAGAACCTATTACTTCTTAAGTATGAAGTATGTATTACTCATTTAACTACCACGGGCTGACATTCCATCCAAAACAAGCCAAACGGGACACAGTGTCACACAAACCACAGACAGTGCTCCGTGTTCTGGAGCACAGGCGTGGCTACTTCCAGCTTCGTTTTATATCAAATACCACGCTTCCCTTGCAAACCAGCCGGGGAGCATTTCCTCAACTATGAAAATAACCAAATGCTGCAATCTCAAGGTACTAACAATGCCTCCCTCAGAGGGTGACTGTGAAGATTAAATTAATACATGTGGAATCCTTATGCTTTTACCACAGAAACTAAAGCGGAAGCCTGAAACTGCTTTCATATAGCTCTTTTCAACAGCGAAGTTAATATAGAAAGAAATTAATATAATTTCTATAATAATTATCTACGGATTCCTGTATTCTAATTGAAACTTACAGTACACATAAAACAGAAAAGTGACAGACGCTGGCAAAGGCATTTTCTTAGGAGAATCACACCAGTGGATATAAATAAAAAATACTGAAAATTACTACGGAAATAAAGCAGCTAGGTTAAGGATTTAGATATATGGCTTCAAGGTACTAAGAAAACAAATAACAGCCTGAATTTGGCACTAGCATTTGACAAAGAGGGAACCAAAGCAGCAAAGTGACTGGTGAGATAAGGATAAGCCACCCAGAAAAATAAAGTCTATTAAAAATTAATATGACCAGCCAGGCACAGTGGTGCACTCCTGTAATCCCAGCATTTGGGAGGCCGAGGCAGGAGAATCATCGCCAAGTTTGAGACCAAGTAGGGTTACAAAGTGAGCCCAAGGCCAGCACACTACATAGTGACTCTGTCTTAAAAAGATAAAAAAAATTAATATGATAACTCTTTTTATTCTGCGCTGGGTTCCATTTCTAAGTGCTCTGCATGTACCGTATTAATTTTTCAATCTTCATAATGACCCTACATTGTTTCCATTGTATACAAAGGAGAAACTGAGGTGCTGAGAGGCTGAGTGATGTGCTCAAGCTGCTAGAGGCTGTAAGTAGCAAGGCCGGGACCAACATCCAGCAGCATGGGCTCTGGCGTTCCTGCAGGAGATCTGGGCAGGAGGAGCCAGGCCCAAGGGAAGGTGGGGATGAAACATACATGTAGCAAGGAGGCACCAGGACCCGCAAGCCCCGACACCATTGCCAGTCACGGGTAGCTGGGAAGCCATCCGACTCAGGAGCCAGAGCCCTGAATGCTTTATTCCATCTCCCTGCTCCATAGCTGTTCCTCCTGGAGACAGACATGACAGGCCTGCTTTCAAGTCTGACGTTCTAGAGTCTTGTTTTTTATTGCGTCTGCTCAAAGCCCCCTGTGAAAGCCCTGCAGCGGTGCTTCTGTGCACAAGAGAAGGCAGAGGATGTGTTCCTGCCTTCTGCTCACACTCCTGATGCCGCATGTGAGACCACTTCCCTACACCACCCACGTCACTAAGCACCTGAGGAAACTGGTCCCCAGGGCCCTGTGGACCCCAGATCTGCAGACACCCCAGTGCCTGGTATAAAATGGCATAATGTCTGCATATTGCTGGTATATATCCTCTTACATGCTTAATTCCCACTCTATTATTTAAAATACCTGACACAATGCAAATGCTATTTAAGTAGTTGTCATACTGCACTGTTTAGGAATGATAACAAAAAAGGCTGTAAATATTCAGCATAAACACAAGTTTTCTTTCAAGTATTTTGACCTAGGGTTTGGTAAACTAACAGGTTTGATTAAATTAAAGGATGTGGAGATCAGAGCTGTGAATTCCACACACCTAAATACTACAGGAATAACTGAAAACCTCTGCTCACCTAACACGTCTTCTTCAAGAACTTGCCAACCTAATAATTCAGTGTTAACTCCATTTCACTTTGACTTCAGTTGGAACTTCCCAGATTTCTATGATCCTGTGCATACGTTCAACACATTCTAGTCAATGAATAAATCCTTTTCTACCTTAATGCATGAAGCGCTTTTTCTCTGTATTCTTTTGGTACTGGTCTATGCCATTCAGCATATTTTTCTAATGTGATATATGCTACCCATGAATCATGATGCTCAAATTTACAGCATACTTGTCCCTCTCACCCACGTGATGCCAAACTCTAAAACCTACCCACACACTGTTCCTTAGTTTGATCATTCCTGTCCTAGTATCTCAGCAGTCTCTATAAAACCATTATCTGCCCTTCTTGAACTGAAGAAGGGTGCCAGCTCACCTGGCGCTTTCTAAGAGCTTAGCTATGTAGGTTTCCTGCATCACAGGCAGCAGGCCACTGTCCATATGAGACACTGAGCAAAACGCAAGAGAATCACAGTTGAGAAAAACAGTCTTAAAATGGAGCACTGTAGAATGCTCAATTCTATAATGAATGGCAGATGATAAGACAAGCAAGTAAGAAAGAGGACTGAAGGAGCAAAATGAACAAATAAAATCAACAGCTTTCACACACAGGAATAAAGAGTGATAGGAAATGAGGTGGCAGAGCTCCATCTATAACAGAAACAATAAAACAAGAATAAATTTAACAAGAGATGTGCCAAACTAGACATTTAAAAAGACATAAACAAATGTAATAATGTCTCCTATTCTTAAATAAGGTGACTTACCATTACAAGTTCAACATAATCATAATAAAAATATAAGTAAGCCAATTTTAGAATCAGATGAGCCGATACCAATGTTCACATAGAAAAAACAAACATCTGAGAATAGCTTCAAAACAAAAAGAGTTAGGAAAAATAACTGCAAGGAAACACTATCCTTATCTGACACTGAAACATACTCTAAAACCTTCATAATTAAAACAGTACTGTGCTAATGCAGGAACAATCAGACCAACACAAGAGCACAGACACACTGGAATCAGCCTATAACCATGGGAACTCGGAGAGGTAACACAAACGGCACCTTTGGCGGCTCTGGCAGGGAGAAGCTGCCTAAGAAACGGGGCTGGGACACTGGGCAGTCATCTGTGAGTGGAGCTGAAGATCATCAAGGTCAGTGGCTCAAAGGATTCGTGCGATCAGACTGGGCTCACCTGGACACCAGGGAGACCTCCAGTGGCTTGATGTCCCCCATGTGCACAGCCTTTTGGGAGTACAGGACACTGTAACAGGGTCCAGATTGACAGTGCACATATTTTGGGGGTCGTCATTCTGACTACTGCAAGTGCTGTGCACTTCAGAGTGAAGTGTAACAGGCCAGGCGTTGAGTGCACTGGAGCCTTCAAAGTCCCTGCCAGTGTCACCATCTGTCCTCAGCACCTGAGCAACAGCCCCAGACCCTGTGATCTCTGATGCCAGACCCCTGCCTCACACCCGCCTCGCCCACCCTGACCACATGCTTACTGTGCTTCCCTCGTCTTCACTTTCTGACCTGCTATTTTCATGATTAATAATGGAACGCTCACTTATACTATTCTCATATTTATTATTTCTTAAGTACTATTTCCCCACTCTCATATCTACTCTATTTTTGGATTATTTCCTTCCTATGCAGAACACTTGCAGATAATCCTTTCAGGATAAGGCTGTAATGACAAGCTCAGTTTACATTTATCTTTAAAAACACATTCTCTCTTTAACTATTTTCTGATTTCAGCTCTTCCTCACACTGTGTCATACACTGGTTTGAGGCCATCCGGTACATTCCTGTCCCTGTGATTATATCCAGCTCTTTCTTGACTCTTACGCTCCTGTCCTCACTCGGTGGCCTTCCGTGGCACAGTTCCATCTCTTCCCGATGCCTTCGATCTGTGAACATTCATTTCAGTGGCCAGACCAAATGACCTACTGCAGAGGGCACAGAGGTCCACCACAGGGTCTGGCTCGTAGATGACTTTCTCTCTGTGTTCTGTAAACTGGATTGCGAACTCCTCTCTGCCAGGCTTCATGGCTGAGAATGCTGTGCCATCTGGACAAATACAGGGCCCTCAGAGAAGCGAGACTGGTGCGTGGCGCAATCCTGGAGAAGCACACAAAGGGACTCAGCAGGCAACAGCCCTGTGCAGAGCCAGTCTGTCCCCACCCGCACTGAGCACGCCCACTCTGGGAGCCCTGGGTTCATTTCTGCTCACATGGAGATCAATGAGAAGTAGAGGCCAGACAGCCATGGACCACTGTCCCAACACGGCGGGAAGGGCACAACGGGAGTGGACAAGTGTAAGGACCCATCCTGGCAGACCGATGGCGAAAGAGTTTGTGGGAGAGAAGCTCCCAAAGAGCAGGGACTTGAAGGATCAGAAACAGAGAAGAACCACTCAAACCAGAGGAAATGGACTGTACAAAAACACTCAGGAAGAAATGTTCACCAGGCACCAGTCATTTAAGAAATGCAAATTAAAATAACACTGAGACTCTAGCTCACTCCAGAAAGAATGGCTGCCATCAAGAAATCAACCTACAACAGATGCTGGCAGGGCTGTGGGGAAAAACGAATACTTTTCCACTGCTGGTGGGAGTGTAGACTGTGGAAATTAGTGTAGAGAGTCCTCAAAAAACTAGGATTAAAGGTCCATTCAATCCAGCTATTCCCCTTCTAGGTATCTTTCCAGCAAAATTGAAAACAATGGCAATATATATGCACCCATGTTTATAACAACACAATTTGTAACAGCTAAATCTTGGAAGCAACCCAAATGCCCATCAACCATGGAATGTATAAAAAAGATGTGGCCTTTCTATACAATGGAACATTGCTCAGCTACAAAGAAGGATAATCTTGAGGCTTTTTCAAGGTAAATGGAGAGAACACATGACCATACTCATAAGTGAAATAAATCGAACTCACATTTGTAAATATCATATTGTCTCCCTAATGTAAAAAAAACCTGAAAGAGTAATAAGATCCAAAATGAACAATAGATATTGTGATAGTGAAAGACAATGCTCAAAAGAAAGAACAACTGGGATGGGGGAAAGGAGAGGAGGAAGAAGGAAAAAGATATATGAATATACATATGATAGATAACTATACTACAAATCTGTTAGTTCATCCAAAAGAACAGTTTGTGCTTTCATTGTTTGGCCATTTTTTTTCATGCCTAAATCTTATAATCTGAACAATTACTTCTAAGATGCAATATGCAATATGTTAATTACTGTTAATTTCCTACTTTTTAAAAAATATTGTATTATTTCTACCCTTTTTATTGTTTTGTTTTAAAATAAAAAAGGAAATGGGCCATAAAACACAAAGTGCTGGCACACATCTGTCATTCCAGCACTCAGGAGGCTGAGGCAGGAGGACTGCTATAATTTCGAGGCCAGTCTAGGCTTTAGAATGATGTTCCAGAGCAAGACTCTGTCTCAAAGAAAGAAAGCAAGCCAGCTACAAAGCACCATGAAAAGAGCCCAGTGATGCAGAGCGCATAAGTGCCCAGAGAATCACATGCCAGGAGAAGCCAGCTGCAGAGGGGGCCCGAAGCAAAGAAGTGTCCTTCCAGGAGAGGCCCACACACAGGCAGCCAGAGTGGCCCTGAAACTCCCCAAACACAAAAACGCTCTACTCCAGGAGAAGGCAATGCTTTCCTTTCTACTTCAGCTTGAGACTATTATTTCCTGACATTCCCGTTTTATCAAAGCACCCGGAAGTAGATTCACTTTGAATTTCAAATGGGAACGGCATTGAGGGTCCCCCACATGCACCGCAGTCTACTGTGCAGGACATCGTCACAAAGTCAGTCCCACAGGGCCTGTGCCATCCTGCTGTGTGCCCTCCAATGGAAGAGGACCAAGGGTAACTCTGGATATTGGTTGGCCCTGAACTTTGTTTTTTTCAGACAGGGTCTCACTATGTAGCCCAGGCTGATCCAAAACTCACTATAAACCCAGGCTGATCTTGAACTCACGGCAATCTCCTGCCTCAGCCTCTGAGTGCTGAGATGACAGGTATGTGCCAACATGCTTCCCTAAGTTGTTTTATTAATGTGTTTTTGGTTTTGTTTTTTTGAGATACAACATCACTATGCAGTTCAGGCTGGCTTTGAACTTACTGTGTAGCCCAGGCTGGTCTCATTCTTGCAATCCTCCTGCCTAACCTCAGCCTTCTGAGAGCTGGGATTACAGGCAGGTGCCACCACATCTAGCTGTTTTATTGTTACTGTGAATATATGTAAATTAGAAAGTAAAATTATTACAATGACTCAAATGATTTTCATAGCTCATTTCTACACACAATGCATGAGACGTAGCATTAAATCTTCACACCCCCTTCAAACTAATGAATCATGAGTGTTTTCTTTTCTCAGCTCTGTGTGTTTATCACTGCAGAGTGATCCGAGGGCAATGAGAGCCCACACAGCAACCTAGATGGGCTTTAAAAGGTGGAGCCATTTGCCAATGGAGGCTCCCAGCAATTTAAGGAAATGCTGCACGTGAACAATTAAAATCATATATCAGGAAGCAAAGCTCATCCTATCTTATCAAATTACACCAGTTCTAAAAATAGCTCCAAATATTTAAATCCTGGATTCTAGTTCAGAGTAACATTGAATTCTGGGGATAACACTTCCTTGTGTTTCTATTTAATAATCACTAACAAATTTTCAATGCTCACAATGCTGGTGAAATGGATACAAAACGCTGCTGAAAAAGGAACAGCATGACAACCATTGTCTTTTACTTTACAGGAAAATCATTTACAATGCCTATCTTAAGCTTATAAATAAAACTTAATTCTAGGGGCTGGGGATTTAGCTCAGCGGCATAAGCGCCTGCCTTGCAAGCAGGCAGTCGTGAGTTCGATCCCTGGTACCGATAAAAATGAAAAAGACAAAAAAAAAAAAAAAAACTTAATTCTATCAAGAAAACATAGCTGAACAATTTGAGAAGCTGCGGTTTCTACTTACATCTGGCTTGGAATGCTGAAATATCTTCAGGGGAAGCCTCAAGTCTCCCTTAGCCAAGGTCACTAAGTACTCTCGTAGCAGCTCACTGGCTGCGCCAGGAGAGTGCTTCTCACAGCGATGCAGGAAGGGCACCATCCACTGGTAGGCACTTGTCACGTACTTGTCCTCAGAGCACTGAAAGCATAATGAGCCAAAATGAACAGAACGAAATTAATTGCTGCATCTCATCATCTCAGACGAACTGCAATGATGACAACTCGGGATAACCAGAGAGATGTGGAAACACACAGTTGCAGGTCCCCATGGAGAGGGTGCTGCAGAGCCAGCACCCTGGAGAGTAGGTAACCAAAGCACCATGGTGGTCCTGACTTCAGATGAGACCTGGACCGCAGTCCCCAACAGTCGGGCCCAACTCTGGAACACACACATGGCTGCCACTCCTTGGCCATGAGGTCCCCAGGGCACACAGACCCACCTGGGAGGGCAAGTGGGGCAAGAAGAAGAGAGAGAACATGAAAGAGAATAAGGAAAGGGGACAGAAAGGCACAGAAAGAAATAGGTGTTCCGGAATTCTGAAGACAGCAGCTTGATAGGTAGCAGGGTAGAGAGTCTCTGAGAAAAACAACTCAGACGCTAGAATTTAACACCAAGGAGAAGACCAGACGAAAGGAGAGGGATTCTCATGACAGGGAAGAAACTGAGGAAAAAGAAAAAGAAAGAAAGGAAGCAAAAACATGGATAAAAGGCTGGAACCAGACGCGCTCACTGGGACCAGTCCCGTGCTGTGCTGGGCATGCTGTGGAGTCAGACAATTCACGTTCGCACTAAAGCCTTGACCAGGAGTTGGTGAGTCTGGAGCCCTTGGCAGGAGGACATGGCACAGCATAGAGTGTAGCCAAGGTGGAGAGCTGCATTAATTCATGGTGAATGCTGGAAATTGGGTCGCGCGGTAGGGGCTGGCTGAAGGACATATGGGAATCCGGAAGGATAGGCCTGAACCCGGAACCTCAGGGGCGTCAATCAGTCACCGCTGGCCCAATGAGGACTGGTGGGACATGCTTGGGCTGAGTCATGCCCCTGGTCGGGACCCAATGGCCAGGGACGAAACTGTCTCGAACCTGTGATATCCGTACAGCACAGACTAATGTGTTGAAGGCACTCTCCCGTTGACTGGCTCAGAGAAGAGGGACCAGCCCACATTGTCCCTGCGTACACTTCAGATAACAGCAAACTGGAGAAGGCAGCAAGCCCCCAGCCAGCACGCTTCAGAAAAACCACAAGCAATAAGGAAAGGGCCTGAGACCTCCACCATACACCTGTCTGAAAGAAACCAAAAACAAGGCAAGAGAAAGAAATAAGAAAAAGCCTCCAGCCGCTGACTCTGAGAAAGTAGGTCCAGGAGAGGTAAATACAGAAGCGAACCAGTACAGCAATCGTACAATATTGGCCACAACATCAGCGGACATAAAGAAATACATTCATGACCGCATAGATGAACTTAAAACTGAAATTCTAATCCAAGTGAGGCAAGACATAAAAAGATTAATAAAAGAAATGCTAAGCCCCTCTCAAGAAGACACAGATGAAAGAATGGAAGAACCCAGAAAAAGAAGAGAAACCTTTGGTGAAGAATATAAACAAAATCTAGAATACATGAAACAGATCCAAAGAGATTACCAGGAAATTTAAAATGCCATTGAAAGCTGGCAAAATGCCCTGACAGAAACCAAAGTGAGTCTTTCAAAATTTGAAGATAGATTTGCAATGTGTGATCATGAAAGAAAAGACCTCTTAAAAATAACAAGGAACCAGGAAGTAGCAATACAAAGGCTAGAAGATGACAAGAGGATCTATAACTTAAGAATAAAAAACATGAGCAAAGAAGCAGGAGTAAACACAAGTGAATTACAAAGGCTATTCACAGAAATAATTAAGGAAAACTTCCCAAGCATAGGAAAAAGAAATGATATCCAGATAAATGAGGCATATAGAACTCCGGCCAACTACAACCAAAAAAGATCTACACCCAGACATATAATAATCAAGATCCCAGAAATTCACCACAGGAACAGAATATTAAAAGTGGTCAGAGAAAAGAAACAGATTACATATAAAGGAAAATCCATCAAAATAACGAAAGACTTCTCAACATAAACTATCAAATCAAGAAGAGCCTGGAGTGAAATAGTCCAAGTCCTGAAAAAAAATAAACTCCAACTCGGATTGATGTACCCTGAAAAACTCACTCTCAAAATTAAAGGAGAAACAAGACATTTCCATGACCAGGAGGAACTGTGCGAGTTCATGACCACCAATCCAACCCTACAAAAAATACTGAAGGACATTCTAGAGAGAGATAGAAAAAAATACCAGGATTCCAGCAGCCATGGCAGAGAGGCCCCAACGAACAGGGCAGACAGTGGAATGAAGGAAAAAAGTGGACAAATAATAGCAGAAAAATAGAATAGCAGAGATGAGGTAGAGAAGGTGGGCTATAATCTCTAATATAGACAGCCTTGATACACTAACAAAAAGAAACACAGGCAAAGTAGATTAGGAGGCAGGAGCCATCAAGATGCTCTGAATAGGAAATATACTTAACCGGAAAGAGGGTTAATAAACTGAAAGTCAAAGATGAGAAAACGATGCTCTATGTGACAGGGAACCAGAAAGAAATAGGGACAACTCGTCCAGCAGCTGCAGATAGGTTGGAAAGTCATGATACTTTTGTGCAGTGGAGAACTACTCAGCTATAAAGAAGGAAAACCTTGAAGCTTTAGTAAGTAAAGGAATACAGCTCAAGATCAAGCTCAGGGGTAAAAAGGTTCAACACTACTTAGACAGATAACAGGTTGCCCCCCTTAATCTAAAAACTAAAGGAGTTAGTGGGACCCAAAATATACAAAGCACCCTGAGAAAGGGAAAGGGGAGGAATTGTCTAAAAAAGGAAGGCAGAGAACATTGTTAATAGTGTATCAGGATTTAAAAGCCACATTAGTCTTACTGCTGTTTAATTTTATTTTGTTCCAGTCTGTCTACTCAGACTAGATTTGAGGGCACAGACAGCTATCCCAAAAATAGCAGGATATACTATGGTAACTATCCTTAATTTCCTATTAACTTAAACTGAAGCCCTATATTACTTACATTGTCTTACTATTACTGATCTTATTTGAATCTTGTTTGTTAGACCACTGTTTTGTCTTGACTGATTTTATTCAAATTTGGTATGCTTGATAGTATCAAGTCTAAGAGTAGAGGCAACTCCTCTGAAGATGACAAGATGCAATAGGGTACCCATTCCGGTTTGATTATTAATTGCTTTTTTAAGTCCTACAATGTCTCCAATGTTGTGTTTTTATTAAAACTGCTATGTAATGCTATGTTCAATTATATTATGTCTCATGATGTAGACAATTCTATTGAAAATAACAAAAGACATCATAGTAACTACTGTAGCTCACCTAATATGGTTTTATATGTCTTTTTCGTTTCATGTTTTTCTAGGAATTTGTTTTGTTGTCTTGTTTTGATCTGTTTTTCCCTGTAATACAGAAAGGATAGGTATACATGTAGAGATTCACACATGTGTAGAATTTCTAAACAGTTTATGGGAACAAATTATATAATGCACAATGTAATGAACAGATACTCTGAAGAAGAGACACTAAGATACCCACTGCTAATTATGTAGCATTATGATATAAAATCTATTATTCACTGTTCAGAGTGATATTAGTCTAGTCTTTTAGCTTAATTTCAACATACGTAAAGATATGGACAGCTATTTTGAAGAGAACAAGAGACATTATGGCAACCATTGTTGACTTCCCTATTGTCTGGTCTTGAAGACCTAAAAAGCCTTCATCATCCTGTTCTGATTAGTTTAGTACTATAATGTTCAGTATGTATTCACTGTGTGTGAAGATGTGGACAACTATTTGTAAGAAAACAAGAGATAACATGATAGACAGTGAAGATCTCCAGCGGTCTTGCTTTGAAATCCATGTTTTTTAAAAATTGTTTCCTTATGATGTTTTGTTCTGTTTAATTTTACCCTCCTTAAAAAAATAAAAAAGAAAGAAATACGCGACCAGAGACAGCAAAGGAGCCAACTGGGAAAGACTTCTGTTATGAACAGCCCAGAGGTGCCTTTCCTTTCCCCTTCTTGGTTTTGTTTTGCCCTTCAATATCATCTTTATGGTCCCTGGAACCCCCAAGTACCTTTGGGTCACTGGGAGATGCGCTTGCACCTCTGCAAAGCAGCTGTGATCACAGCAGCACAAGGCAAGGCCACTGCAGGGTGCCAGGATCAGAAGCAAATCAGAGTCGGCCCAGAGAGAAAGACCTGGAGAAGAGTAGATGACAAGAAAAGGGATGCAGGAAGGAGAGAAAGAAAGAGACAGCAGGAACAAGTGAGAAGCAGGAGCGCAAGCAGGAGAAACAGTCACAGACCAAGCACATGAAAAAGGCCGGCGCTCTCTGGATCTTTCACAACTTACCCACATGGTTCAATTCAGTGAAAAGGTTAAGAAACCATCTCTCATTCAACCAAGTTCTCAGGCTTGTAGGACATTTTGCTCCTGGGAGGGGACATGTATCAATGAAGGGACATGGACATGAGGAATGACTGAAAACAAAGCCAACACTCACACTGCTCATGAGTAATCTCAGCTTCTCGCTGTCCGTCATTCTCTGGAGCTCCTCCAGGGTTAGGGTCACGTCACAGCCTGCTTCATACACCAGGGTCTCCAGGGTGACCAGGTTGTCACACAGCAGTAGCAGCCCGGGGATCTGCCGCTCCATCCCAAGGCGAATCAGCGACAGTGCGCAGTCCACCTGGAATCGGGGGGGGGGGGGGGGGGACGACAGTGAGTGCCCAGCTCTCATCAACTCCTCTCGTCCTCAAGACGCAGCTCCCAGTGCAGGGCCTAGGCCCATAGCCATCTTTTTATGGAACTCTACCAGTAATATACGTCTTTTATTACTGCAAAACATTATGGTTCTTTATCAACTACATCACCATCGGACTGTTTCAAAGGTAGAAATTAGAATAATGAGGATTCTGATACTAAGGAAGTGACAACCATCTTAAATCTGCAGAGTCTTACATCTTACAGCACAGTTTTGAACACACTTTATTTCATTCTCCCATCACATGAACAGGCAAAAGAACATAATGAACAGTGAGAACTCAACACTCTTCTCACTCTCATTAACCACTCAAGACCCTAAAAAGAAAGTCTTCCTGTTCCATTCCTTTCCTCCACTGCGCCTCCCCTACACAAAGCTCCAATCAATATCAGCTGACGCAGTAACCAGTACAGACATGCACAGCTCAATTCAGATGCGTACACCTCACCAGGAAAAAGCAAAGAATGCAAGGGCACACATGACTGTCTGTCATCCCAGCACTCAAGGAAGCTGAGGCAGGAGGATCACAAATTCGAGCCCAGCCTCGACAACTCAGCAAGACTCTGCCTCAAAATGAAAAGTAAACAGGGCTAAGGGTAGACTCAGAGTGAACTCCTAGGTTCAATCCCCAATACTGCAAAATGAACAAAAGGGGGAAAAAAGGATGTGCAGCAGTCTGCCAACTGTCCCAGTTCAGATATTTCCCACAGTATCATGGGACTGGAGCTACGCAACGTAGGCATTTCAGAGTGGCTTCTGTCACACAGCCACAGTCATGCGAGGTGCGTCCCATACTCATTACCAGAATGAACCACAATCCATCTGTTCATTCAGGGAAGTTGTCTGGATCAGTCAGTGCGCCCTTACTGGACGCACGGATCTGAGCCTACTGACAGTTTATCCACTCACTTAGGAACGCATCTGGATGTTCACTGCTTATCCATTCACTTCCATGACTCATCGACCGCAACACAGGAAGCACTCAAGTGCAAAACGTTACTAACCAGAACGCTGGAAGGTAGCCATTGTACATAGGAACTCCTAGTACTCCCCATTCAATTTTGTCACAAGCTTGAAACGCTTGTAAAAACAGACACAAGAAAAAAATCTTTAAATTTTTTTTAAAAATAAAAGTAGATACAAGGTAATGGGAAAAATAATTTTTTAAAGTGACTATTTTGCATTTTAGGATGTGCTTCTTTTTCTTTATCATTGTTTTGTTTTGTTTTTGTATTTTTGAGACAGGGTCTCGCTATGTAGTTAAGGCTGGCCTTGAACTCACTTTGTAGCCCAGGCTAGTTTCAAACTTGCAATGATCCTCCTGCCTCAGGCTTCCGAGTGCTGAGATTACAGGTATGTGGCACCACATCCAGCTTATCACTATTTTTGTAAGTGAATAATGGTTCCAATGTGGGCTTCTGGCTGTATCTGTGAAGTGTCTGCTGAGCACACGATGCTAACCCAGATGATACTATGATGGCCACGTCTGCCTGTACAATGATACATCTCACCACTCCTACCACAGCTCTCTTGGTCAGTCGCTCCTTGGAGAGGTTTCTCCGTATGAGTGAAGTGCTGACACCTTGATTAAGGTAACGCACAGGAACCGGGAGGACTGCCTGAGGACCAAAGTTCTCAATGGGAACAGAAGAGGTCGCCAGGAGACTGTGAAAGTACAGGGAGGCACCAGTACCGGATAAGACCCACGGCCAGCCAGCAGGGTCAGCTGTCAGGTGGCACCTCCCACGGCACAGGCAGGGCTGAGCCCAACCTGCCTGCTTCCTATCCACCTTTCAGACATCCAAAACCCAGCTCTCACCATCACAGGCCAGGTCAATTTATTTAACTGTCATGCAAAGTTCTATTTTTGTGTGGTTGAATTTATACTAAATTTACCTTTCATATAACTAATGTATAAAGCAGAAGATTTTACTTAGGTTTATTAACAGTTTTTTTTTTGTTGTTTTGTTTTGTTTTGTTTTTGTCTCTTTTATCAGTACCAGGGATTAAACTGACGACCACACACTTGCAAGGCAGGCTCTTATGCCGCTGAGCTAAATCCCCAGCCCTTATTAACAGTTTTTAACATGCCTTAGTTGTTCACAACCCTGACAGCAATTCGTGGTATTTAACCACACACCTGAATCAGTGTGCAATTTTACACTCCGTCCGAAGTGACTGTGAGCTGACTGTATAGCCTCATGTGGCCTGGCCGACTACTGACATGGTTTTCTCATCCCATAATCCACAATTAGGCTATCACATTAATTTTTTGGAAATTAGTTCTGAAGATAGAACACAGTATCTATGATTCTCACATTGTGCTAAAGAAGAAAGTATTGCTAAGTATTTTCTCCAAAGGACACTGTGAGTCTTCATATATCGCTAGGAAAACAGCTGCTCTCTTGAGACTGTGCCCACTTCACTCTGAATCCCTGGGGTCTGTGTGGCTGCTCTCTGCTACCCAGCTCTAGACAGTGACCAGGATCTCACCTGGCTCTGGCCAGGGTGCTGTGCAGGGCACTCACCCCGTTTCTGAGGATCATGGTTTACCTATCTAAACTATAGAGAACTGACTTGGTTTTCTCCAAAGACAATTTTCACCATTGAGATATCTCAAGATCCTACACACTTTCCTGTGGTTTTGGGAAACCAATGCAAAGTGTTCTTGGCTACCACCCAAAAGTTTGGCTTAAAAAAGAAAAGTCACCCCTGACCAGACCTTGAATGAGTCCTCAGAGTGTATTCAGCAGCCTCTGCTCCATCACTAATCCCTGTTCTCTGAGATGAAGTCAACCCTGGCTTCCACTTACAAGGCCCTCAGTGGGCAGAGCAGCCAGCACTCGGAAGGAAGTATCTTTGTTTTTAAGAGTTCCAGGATTGGAACCAACGCCACAAGATAACCAAGGTACCAAGGGAGGCATCAGCCCCAGGGCCCCGGTTTACTAGTGGAAGAGCCAAGATCTGAACCCAGCCACTCTAGGGCTCAGCACACCCTGTCTCTGTGAGTCATGCGGGACTCAAGACCTGAGGTTATGGATCTAATGAAGGGACCGGACTGCTGGAAACCAGGTGTGGTCTTAGGAATCAGCAGGAACAACTGTGAAAAGGATTACTGAAGAGCAAAACCACAGTCAGCCGAGTCTCTGTACCCATCCAGGCTGACTGATCTGCAGGAACAACCACTGAAGTTAATGCAGTATTATTAAGTGTATTAAAAATACGCAGAAAATCAGAAGCCAAAGCGTACGTGTGAAAAAGGATTCTGGACTTTTCTTGTACATATTGCCCAGTGAGATCCAAAGCAACATAAAAGCTCTGAGGCAAAAGATACACCAACGAAAGTAAGAAGAAATTCACCCCTAACTTCATCCCTTGAAGTCACGCCCCTAAACTGCCAGCAGCGCAGCCGGCATCCAGGACCCCACATGGCATTCTGAGTCACAGTGGTGACAGAAGGCCTCACCTGGCCAGCGTGGCGCTCGATCTCCTTGGCCCTGCTCTGATACCAGTCTATGGCCTCTGCCACTGCCAGCTGCGCAGTCCGGAACCGCAGCAACTCAGGCTGGGCAGCATACAGGAACTCGCCTTCATCCTGTAGGCTCGGCTCCACGGCCGCCCTGCAACAGAGGGAACAGTTAACAACCAACTCAAAGGCTGCAAAACATGTATGCAATTCTAAGAGAAAGGCAAAGACAGAGAGGGGGACAGAAAGAGACCACGGTCACACAGTGCTGTCACTGGGTGCCCTTCTCACCATCCCGCAAGGAGCAGATGCTTAGGCTGCACGCTACCAACCTGCACTCCGCCTCTTCACACCAATCTTGAGCTCTGTGTTTCCGCTCACGCCAAGGAACAATCACCAAGGAATCACCACGATGACTTGAATGTAAAAGAGAATAAACAAACATTTGAAACTCACATTTCTCAGTTTCACAAGAAATATTTAACAATATCTCCCGGCCCTAAGCATTAAGATTCCTGCCTATCGTGCAGTAAGTGCCGCAGGACACAGCTTACAGTGACAGTGTGTGTGGTGCAAAACACCTTACTGCTGATCTCCAACCACAGAAAGGTTCAAACGGTAAAAAAAATTCTTCAAAGAAAGTATCTGGCAAAGGATTTAAAACCTGGTATGGCTGTGAGCCCATTTCACACATTTAGAAACATTTACCAAGAGCTTCACATGACACACACGGTCCCTGGCCCAGAACCTCACGGTCCAGAGCGGGATCATCCAACAAGCTTCGCCCAGTCACAGAAACGTGTGTCTGTAGTGTACCACATGGTGACCACTCGCCAGACATGCATGTGCCAGCCACTCAGAAGACACACGAGCTGGGAAAGGACGCTGCGTCTTGGTTCATGTTAAATGATCAGCGCAGACACTGAGGATGGGCAATGACAGAGGGCTGCAAAGCATCATGAAGAGGTGAACAAAAAATCTGAAAGGGTGAAGACAAGCCCTGATGGAATACAGCTGGAAGTAAATGTAAAAGAAAGGGGAAGAAAACCCAGCATGTAACTCAGCACAGCAACGCAACACATCTTCCAGAGCACCACGGTCTCCGGCATGGGCCTTTCTACCATGCAGGGTCTAAACTCGACTTCACAGGGCTTTTAGCTCCAATATCCAGGAATCCGGAGGGCAACTGAATCGTACTGAGCTAAGAATAATCACAAAACATCTAAAAACAAACTTCATTGCCTTGCTCTTACAGCTCAACAGAACACTGTCTCTCATTTGCCTGAGCATCCATAGGGGATTTTCTGAAAATGTATCAACTATTAGGTTATGAAACATGCTTTGCACAAACATCATTCAAAAACACACAAATATTATGTCGGCAGGAAGACTGGGCCTCGTGTGAAGAGTGACAGGAGACCACTGGATGGTTGGAATGGAGAAGCGGGACACCTGCAGGCTGGCAGGGCCGTAGCAACTGGTTAATCGACAGCATCGCCCTGCGGTGACGCGGGCTGCAGCAAATCCTCTCCAGGCCAGGCTCCTGTTACTCCGATAAGGTAAGAAGGACACTGTGCCATTCACTGACCTCCTGCTTTTCAGCTAGCAAAGCATGTACCAGGTACAACTCACAGGGCTTTCAGCTCGCGTTTTTGAAATTATGAATCATCTGAAATGATTTAGAATGATTGCCACAATCACAGTACTTCATTTGTCACCAAATAAAATAACTATTTTATTTTCTTCCATGTCAATAACGAATATTTTATGGCAAAGCATTGGAATGAAAAGTAAAATAGTAACATGCTGATACAACAGTGAGATTGTTCACTCTTCCAAACTAACAACAAATTAGAACAATGAGTCGAGAACAGGGAAAAAATAAACCTAGCAAGGTGTCATGCTTTTTCTAATTAGAGGAAACACAATTCTTTTTTTTTTTTTTTTTACACTTTTTTTTTCTTTTTTCTTTTTATCGGTACCAGGGATCAAACTCACGACCGCCTGCTTGCAAGGCAGGTGCTTATGCCGCTGAGCTAAATCCCCAGCCCCTAAGCAAACACAATTCTTTAATGTACACAGTGTTATAAAAATCTCCCAAGATGAGATCTGCATTTTCAATACAGATTACGTACTAGACACAAGAAGTATCACTGAAATGATTAGTAATGGTATGAGCTCTTCAGCAAAATATAGTTAGCTGGAAACTAGAGTCTACGAAGTGGTAAAGCTTTATTATTTTCACAACAGAAATGGGTCAGAAGAGAAATTCTCGGGGCTGGGGATTTAGCTCAGTGGCATAAGCGCCTGCCTTGCAAGCAGGCAGTCGTGAGTTCAATCCCCGGTACCGATAAAATGGAAAAAGACAAAAAAAAAAAAAAAAAAGAAGAGAAATTCTCTAGCAGTGATTCAAGTTATAAGGTAAATCAACTGCCCTACTCAAATGTGTTGTGCTGAGAATTTAACTTAAATGCATACTGAAGTTCTGCTTTTCTGGCATAAATTTTCTACTGTTTGTTGTTTGGTTTGGTTTGGTTTTTTTTTTTTATTTAAAAGGAAAAAGAGAAAAAATAAAACAAAATAGTGTAAGGGTACAAGTAATACAGAACTACAAAAATCTGACCACTCAGATCCATGAGTTATGAGATAAAGGATGCGAAGGCCCAAGTCCCCTCCAGCCCGGAGACCCTGTTGACCACCCGAGAAGTATCAGAGTTCCCAGCGGAGGCCAGCAGCAGCAGTAGCAGTAGCGCAGCCTCTCGCCTCTGATTTGAATTCATCTTTATCCAGTGTAGAAAGAGTTGTGGTAGCATAAAGAGAAGCGGGCAGGTGAAACTGGCTTTCATGCACCAGAAGACCAGCAATTCCTGAATGCAGAGATTGGGGTCACTCACAGCACCCAAGTTCAGAAGCTGCCGAAGGCTGGGCAGGCCACAGTGTGGCACAGGCTCTAGGCACCTGATTTCTCAGCTCTCAGCAAGAGAAGAAGAAAGCAGAAAAGGCTGCACAGAGACCTGTCCATCCCCGTGTTCAATTTGCACAACCAGCCCTGCCCATGGCTCAGCAAGGGATAGGAACTACCACGGGCCACACACAAGACAGGTTACACACTATGAATATAAGCAACATAACTTCTTTTAAAAAGTACCTTTCTCATAACCCCGGCAGCGCAACCAGCAGGCCACATTCCCTTCCTCACACAAAGCACCCCCAGAAGCTGTGGGCAGGACATGCTCGTGGTCGGGACGGTGTCCCTGTGACCACAGGCTAAAGGGCAGCCATGTGTGTGAGGCCCAGCACGCAGGAAGTCAGCAAGAGCCAGGGGCTCTCAGAAGCAGCCTTCCCCTCTGCTGGTGGCCCCATCACCTGCAAATGAACACCAACTCAAAAGGGGAACTATTTCCAAAAGTATCTTGCAGTTCATGCATCTTCGAGGGCCCAGCTCCGAGAAGCATAAATGACAGCAGCCTTAACAATGGGTTAATACAGCAACTGCACCTCGGACCTCGGTGCCTTAGGATGCTGGCAGGACGTGCATTCCCAGAATCCCAAGCCTCCCATTTGCCTGACCACTGTGCCTCTTCTGAGCCACCACCCCAGCATGTGCTGCTGCTGGCTGGGCCACAGCAGCTGGCTCTGTCCACAATTAGCCTGGGGTCCAAGGTGGGAGGTGAAGAAGGGAGCAAGGAGGAGACAGGCACTGCACTGGAGGAAATGACTGACTGCACTGACAGGTGAAAGAACCATGCTAAAAGGATCAGCAGAACAAAAAGCATGAAAAAATGAGTAACTAATGGGAGATCTCACAGAAGATCTGATTATGTCTAAAGCATTTGCTGTGGCTTTTTCAATAATCTAAATTATAAGAGGATGGACACATTACCATTAAATCCTATTGTTCTTACTCCAATTAAAGAAAGAGGGAAAAAACTTATTTTTCACAATGGATTTAAAAATAAATGCAACTTAAAGACTCATGACATCAGAGACCTAAAGTTTTTCTTAATGTCAAATCCCAAAACAATGATTTAATAGCTTTATCTTATAATGTTCTCTGCTGTGAGACTAAAGTGCTTCCTGTAATTTAAATATCTCCCCAAGGAAGATACCCCTAGTAACCCCAGGGCATTCAAAGACAGCACAGCATTAGACACTGGGAAACTGTTCCCAAACCATTTCTGAAATTCCAGGTTAAAGCAAAATGTTCAAGCAATCACCAGAAAACAATATAAATGCATTCAAATCTAAGGAGAAACTACCTTTGAAAAGCACTATGACAGGCAGCAATCCATTTCTGTAGACTAGCAATTTAGCTGAAAAAATCAGCTCTATTCAGAACAGATCTGCTTTGTAAGAAGGCAGAAAACAATAGACAATTTTTATTCTGAAACATTCCTATAAAATATATTTACATATCACAAGATCTAAAATTCTTTGAAGAGCCAGGGATACAGCTTGGTGGTACAGTGCCTTCCTGGCAAGCCTGAAGTCATGAGTTCAGTCCCCAGTACTAAAAATAAATAAGACTTAAAAGTAAATATGTAAAATTATTTGAAGCTGAAAAAAGTATCTGATAGTTTTTCTTTCTTTTATCAGTTTTTTTTTAGTACTAACAGTAATGCAAAATAAGAAATGTATACCACGTATGTGGAACATACTGACTTTCAACACTAAATAAAGGTGAGTTCCAAGGCTGGCTTCATCTATATACACTAGCATGCTACTAAACCTCTGTATACCCTGCCTTCAGAAGAGCAGAGATCACAGAAAATGATTTGGAAACCAGATAGAAATATGTGTCAGATAGCTGGCGATCACTCTGTGCATACTGTTCATTAGCACATAAGCCTAAACTCATATGGGGTGGGGGAAGCCAGGCAAGAGTGAGGGAGCCACGATTCCATTTCCACCCGAGCACATGTATCTCTGGGCACAGAGTTGGCACAGCGACTGTTCCACCTCCGACCCAACCCCTGCATCCTTACCGGCTCCAGCAGGTGTCACAGATACGGGTTTACCTGCCACTAAAATGATACAATGTGAATAGGCAAGAGAGGAACTGTCAACTCCCTTTAAAGACGCGCAAACCGGAAACCAAAAAAGACAGCTCAGGCAGTTAATAATGGAGCCACGTTCACCAGGGGCGCGCTCACTGCTACGTACAAATGGTCTCACAGATGGAGACCTCGACTTTGTGACTGACCCACTCACCGCATGCTCTGCATGCCCCCTTCTCGTAAGAGCCCTTCCAGCCTGGCACACACAGCCTCCCCATCTCTGAACTACGCAATGGGGAAAATACATTCTGCTGCCATTCCCGCCTCCAGAAAACCACCAGGGGAAATACTGGCCATGACATCTACACCGACTGCCACCGCTGCAACTCAACTATCCAGCACTCTTAAAATGAAAAAAAGGAAGCAGGTGTTTAACAGCAGTGGGGCTTCAATTCCCTATTTGTCTTTGTGTCTCTGGAATTTCAAAAGGAAGACAGGTTGCTGAGCACTGTAGGACGCAGACACTCCGTGTCCCCATACTGTGGGAACTACAGTTCAATGCCTCAGAGACAGGACAAGCTCAAATTAACACTGACCAGGACACAGTATGTACTGAATACACAGCAGGAAAGTCAGAGGCTTTCAAAAAAAATAGATTTTGTCCATTAAGTTAAGGTGATCCTGTTAAAGGCAAACACATTTTCGCTTCAGGATTTAAAAAAATAAGTTGAAAATAATTATATTACCGGGGGAAAATTAAGTAGATCACATTAAATTACTGTTTATTTAAATTTAAGGTGTTCAGCATGAAACAAAAAGTTTCTATAGCTTCAGAAAAAGGTAAAATGTGGTGGAAGGGAGTCATGTACCGAGCTTCGGGCAGCAGCGCAGCGTACTCATGCGGGGAAGTGGTCTCTGGGAAGTTGGAGAGAATTGCCAGGCGGTGAGGAAGCAGGTCAGCGCCGTGGTAGGTAAACAGAATCTCCAGGGCTTGTACATTGCTCTCCTGTGTAAGAAGCAACCCGAATCTCAGCAACACAGGCCAAGTCTATATGACAACATTCAAAACTTACTTTTTATGTAGTTCTGATATGGCATACTTAGAAACCCTAAGTTTTGATTTCATCTTAGCACATATACTTTTAATGTTACAAAAATTATTTATTTTTAAAACTCTGACTGATAAATAAAATCTTTAAAAATGTAACTCCATTTTCTCCAGATTTCTTAGTATGACAATTTAGTATGACAGTGCAACGGTACACGCATGCATAACACTGGCTGTACAGCTCCAAGAGTCAGAGAGCATTAGTAACGATCACTGTTCTGTTTACAGAAATTACCCGAGCGTAAGTTCTTGCTGAGAGAACAATATTCTGCCTCCTGAAGGCCTTAAAGAACTCAGCATCGTATCTCTGTTCGGAAGCAAGAGGCACTGCTAGGATTTCCTGAGGAGAAACAGATTTAATGAATAGACCTTTAATTATGGGTGACAAGAAAACATTAAAAACCTTTACAGCTACACCTTATAAATAAGCTCTGAGTTAATGAATTTCAGCTATCAGTGGTTAAGTAAAGTACACAACTGTACTCTTGTCATCATTTTATTTTACTTTGTTTTGTACCAGGAATCAAACTCAGGACTTTGTGTTTGTTAGGCAGGCACTTTTGCCATTGAGCCATAACCCCGGTCCTTGCTATGATTTTAAAAGGGATCATACTTGTAAGTGCTAATATTTTTTTAATCTAGAAGTAAATGAAACAGGCAGTAGAAATTAACTACCACTTTGGTGGACAACCAACTCTAACCACCTTGTAGAAACAAGTAGACAACAGCTATCCAAGGCCAAGCATAGGAGCACCTCCCATCTCTACACACGAACTTCGGGTTAATTTTACACCATTTCAGTTTCTGTAAAATGCAGACTGAGCCACTCATTCATTCCCCAAATATCTGCCAGTGTCCACTATATGAAAGGGACACTGTGACAGGTGTTGGCGACTCCCTGACCTGCACATTTTCCTTGCCTATTCCTTTTCTCCAAGTAGCTTGAAATCCAGCAGGAACACAAACCAACTGTTTAAAAATAATCTTTAAAAAGAAAACAGCTGTTGCTAGAAATATAATGTCACTGAGGTTATTTTTCAAAGTCTTCATCAGTTACAGACACATACTCAAGTGTTTATGGGTAAAATTATAGGATTTCTGGGATTCACTTTAAAGTAACTGAAAGAAAAGACAGAAGTAGAAAGTTGGGGATAAAAAATAAGATTAGGAAATGGGTCAAGCTGAGCAAGAGTACATCAAAGGTTATCAGCTTGTTATTTATACTTTTAAGGATGCTTGGAAGATTTCACAATAAAAACATTTTTTAAAAAACCACTGATAGGACAACAAAACTCAAATCCATATTAGCACGGTTCTCTCCTAACCGCATCACCTTAACCTCCCTAGGAGGCTTCCTTTTGTGGTCTCCTTACGAACTTCTGCATGGTGCTTTAAGGTTTTCCAGACCTCTGCTGTCCTTTTCTGCCAGCTGCAGCCTCATCAGAAAGCCCAGCTCTCCTATGCCCTAGGCAGCCCCTGGATGGCCGCACACAACAGTGGCAAACCTGCTTGCACCTGCACCTGCGCCCACACCTGCATGCTCTTCCTCCTTTCCAACAAGAACAAGAAAGCATCTCTGCACCCAGAAACATCTCCAACCTCCACCCATGCTTTCCATTTTTATCCATTTCTTTTTTTTTTTTTTTTTTACTTGCTTTTTTGTTTTGTTTTGGGTTTTTTTTTTTTTTTTGAGACAGGGTTTCACTGTATAGTTCAGCTGGGCTAGAATTTGTATGATCCTCTTGCCACAGCCTCCAGAGTGCTGGGATTACAGCTATGTGCCACCATGCCAGTCTCTGTTCTCGATTTTTGTAACCCTGTGAAGTATCTCTTTGTTCTACTCTATAAAATCCTCCTTGCCCTCTACTGGCTCATTTTCATCAGCACACCAATAATTCTTCTATCATCAAACCCACAACCACTCTCTCCATCCTCACTTTCATGCTTTCCCCTACTCGCTACACCACTGATGAAAATTCAACCTGCTTCCTTCTGCCAGAGGAGCCCTCTGCAAATGCACCAGACTCTCCTAACCGCATCTCTCCTGCCCTTGTTCTGTGTCCCATCTGTGGCCCGACACACAGACTCTTCTTTCACACCACCGGCCCTAACAAGAGGTCTGATGTCAGTTCTTCTTCCTATTTATTTGGGCAAACTATGCACCTTCTCTAAGCCTCATTCCCCAATCCATAAAACTGGGAAGACAATAGCCACTGCCTCCAAGCACTGCCAGGACATAAGTTAGGCTAAGTCCATGAGATAGTGACTGACAGACCCAAGGTGCGACTGACAAATGCAGTGAATGGTTAAATTTGTGAACAATTTATTACGCTGAAAGGCACACTATCAAGAGTAAGTGTGTTCATGGCAAAGAAAAGGGTTTTGAATTACTTGCAATAAATTTTTAAATTTAGGCACTCACTGTATTGTGTGATCAAATCTCATGGATCAAACATATGTGGCAATTTCAGTTTAATAAACACGTAACAGTGTACCTTCATCATCAGCCTTAGTCACCAGATCTGGCACTGTGTGACTCCCGGCTCTTCCCCAGAATCACAATGACAGTGAAAGGGAAACATTTTAAATCCATTCAGGACATGAAGGCAGCCAGGACAACACAACTAAAGACCCTCAGGAAAGAAGACTCCAGAACTGCTACAGAGAGTGTCAAGCATGATGGGATGAGGGGGTTCCAAGTAAGGGAAAAGGAGCTGAAAGGGCTTTGTGGCAGAGTGCAATAAGTTTTTAATAGTCACTGTAATTTTTTATCAAATCAGGTAACAGCTAAGAGTCCTCAACAGAAGTGTGGGTACTTCTCTAATGGACAGTTCCTTCAACAAATATGTTTCCCTCTCCACCAGTGAGTCGGGCAGCAGTCTGAGCTCTGCAGGAGCAAAGAAGACGGAGCCCTAACTTAGGGAGAGTCCTGGCCAAGCCTCCAGCCCTGAAACCCTGGCTGCCTCAAGAACCAGCTGTAAAGGGACATGCAGCATAGACTTCTCAAACACTCCCCCCCCGCCCCGGGGGGAGATTTCACGTACACTAGGAAAACTGCTCTTATCACCGCTCTGCCACGAGCAATGGGAGGCACGTAGCACAGAGAAAGCACCTCAGTAAATCCACTGAACTTCATCTTTACGTCCTTGCTCACAGATAATTAAATAATCCATGCTCTGCATTTCTACCACTAACTAGCTAGCCACTGCAACTCAGCATTTCCACCACAACATCGTAACAGCCAGATCCATCCCAAATCATCTATTTTCCAAATGTTTTCTTAATTTCCCTAAGGAAAATGGCTTCATCAAATACTTTAAATGTCACTCCTATGATGTAGTAACAAATGTACACTCTACGGCCATGTGAGGAATAGCAATCAATAAACCAAGGTGACACACAGAAATAACAGCCTGTGCCTCCACAGACCTCTGAACTGCATGGCGTGCTTAGAAGACACTGCCTCAAACTGTCAGGGAACACAGACAAAGTTAGGGGACATGCTTAAGATGCTATCACCATCCAACAGCCCAACTAGCTGCATCTGCAAATCAAAGCATCGGGAATTCTTCCTAACTCGCTTGCATCAAACGATATATGCCATTACCAATGCTTTCTAACAGCCACAGTAACAGCTTTCTCAGAATTTGGTTAGAAAATATTTTAGCTACATTAGCAGGGTGAGGAACCAGGTCAGAGTTCTAAATGTCTGTTATTGTTGGCATGAGCACCATACAACACAGCCGGAGTCTATCGAGTGTCCATGGTCCCCTACATTGGTGCCAGGCACCACACACGTTCTGCCCCTGGAAGGAGCCATTCTTCAGCCTGGATGAGGAGATGATGTGTGTGCAAAGCCAAGCACAATAGTCAGAAACTTCTTTCAGGCCTGGAGCCTCACGCAGAAAAAGTGATCTATGCCTTGGGCACACCCTGAAACGTGTGTGTGTGTGTCCCCCCCATCCCCAAGGCTAATAGCACATGGATGGCTCTGGCTGCACAGGCACCACAAGCTGCCCAACATGGGCAACAGTGTTGCATCCCTAGAGATGCCGATGTGAAGCTGCTCGAGCTTAGTTACAGGCTAGAACAATTGAGAGTATGCATGGGAAGCCTGTTAAAGCTCACTGTGTACTAAAGTTAGCACTGTAGCCAGCTGGGTACCTGTACCTTAAAGTAAAGTATGAAATAAAAGTAAACAGGGCTGCAAGTCTAAGCATAGACGCACTGAAATGGCTAAAGCCTTTTTACTCCCCAACCTCACCAAACAACTTCCCACATTTCAGTATCAGATTTTTATAACTAGTACCAAGAGAACTTGCTTCTGTGAAAAATTAATTCCCCCCACATAAATAGCATTAAAGACCAAGAATATAAGATACTAGGACAGCCACAAGATCTATAACAACAGACCAAATGAAGATGCTGATCTAATTAAAGCCACTCCTCACCTTGTATGTTGCAAGTCGATCTAAGAAAGTCAGTAATTTCAGCCGACAGCGGCAAAGCTCCTTCTGTTCCAGGCTCCACCTGTTCAGATAACCACATTGAACCACTTACACTTACAGAGAAGAACATTTCTCCGGGAGCAAAATCCAAGGGAAAACAGTTACTACCCTGCAGAGCCCAGAGTTGTTGGTACAGCAGACAAAAGCACAAAGGTAAAACAACACCCCACGCATTTCAGTCTCTGAAATAAGTCACAGGCATCATCACCAGAAGAGAACATAGTGAAACCACCAGTTATTTCAGGGGATCTACCAAGTCGGCAGGAACAGATGGCTTACTCAGAGAAACTCAGGAGTTTAAGCAGCTCGTGTCTCTCCCTGGACACCTTCTCCTTCCGCTGCTGGGCAGGCTCTTCTAAGGTGGGTGACAGCACCTCATAGGCAACAGTGTCAATGTCCACGTCCCCAGGCAGTGTAAACCTGCAGCAGCAAAAGAAAATGCAAATCCACTCTGATTTGCTTTTATAGTTTCACGAAAAGTTGCTTTCTCATATTTCAGGTGATTTACTTGCAACTTACTTTCCAGTTAATTATTAACTAATTATAAAGCTATTAAATGGCTTTCTAGCTCGTTTTAAAAAAAAAATTCCCATTGCAAGCAAAACTGATTTATACATTAAATCCATAGTAGAGATAGGAAAAAGTCATCCATAACAGTCAGAGATTTTAAGTCAAGAAAATGCAACCATTAAAAAACACATGAGGTGCAGTCTTCAGCCAGTACGTAGCAGAGACAGTGCTGCCCACAGAACTCGAAATCTGATTGTTCCAATTTATGATTTTTTTTTTTTTTTGGTCTTTTTCATTTTTATCGGTACCAGGGATCGAACTCACAACTGCCTGCTTGCAAGGCAGGTGCTTATGCTGCTGAGCTAAATCCCTAGCCCCTCCAATTTATGATATTAAAATGGTAGTGAATGTTGGCCTTCCGGAAGTCAGTCATACCTGCTGACATGCAAGACTGCTGCCACCACGCTGGCTCTGGTCATGTCACTGTACTGCCACTAGTATCAAAAAGGGGCACACGAATGGTGCTTAGAGGCTTTGGAGGCACTTTCATATGACATACAGCACCTCTCCCAAGGGAGAGGCAGCAGGCAGAGGCCAGCCAGTGGCACCCACCTGGCAGCAGGACAGGCCTGCTTAGCATCCTAATCCTGCCTCTGAAATGGCCCTGCTTCAGCCAGCAAGGACAGAACCTGTGTCCCCGCAGCATCCAGTCAAAAGGTGAACACGCTGAGCACACAGGAAGAAATCTGCTCCCTCAGGTCACAAAGGGATGTTTCCCAGCATGACAGCTCCCAAGCACCTGGTCCTGGTGCAAAGCCTCCATCACCCACCTGCCACTGTCCGCTCCACTGCCCAAGGCAAGCAGGGCCTCCAGGTTGGTGCCTTTCAAGCCATACTGCAGCAGCTCCTGGGCTGCCTCCACGGTCTCAGGAACACGCTCCAAACACTCATGGAGCACCCATGCGCGCTTCTTTATTTTACTCTAGAAAAAAGGAAAATGAAAGCAGAGGCGTTTAAGCATCATGGCATCTTACAGCACCTGACAACAGCTGTCCAGAGGACAAAGCTGTCCCCAAGGCAGCCAGCCCATCACAAGATGCCAACACCCACCCAAGCCCAAGCTGATTTCTGATCAAGTACAGCCATGCTCATGGCCACCACACACCAGGGCTGGTAGCCGGGCTCCCTGCAGCGCTCATCTGCCAACAAAATGTTCACCGGGCATCTGCTATACACCAGACCTCAACCAGAAGAGGTAGCGTAGTGCACAAGATGGCTTGCAGTCAGCTGCACACATCCTGCACACTATCCCTGAATTTGTACTCTTGGTTTTGTCTCATCATCTTTATTCTTTTTAGAGGGAGGTGTTTGATTTCTTGGTTTTTTGACACTGTCATACTGTGTAGTTCAGACTGGCCTCAAACTCACAGCAACCCTCCTGCTTTAGCCTCCCCAATACTGAGATTATAGGTGTGCACCACAACGCCTGGCCCTTTACCCTCTTTAAGAATGTCTTCCAAGCATACACACACAAACAGAATAGAGAAATCCCAAAAAGCCTAACGATGCATACCAAGGTCCTAGAAAGACAAGAATAATCTAAATCTGAAACTCATAGAAAGAAACAAATAATAAAGGTCAGAGTAGAAATCAATGAAGTTGAGTCTTAAAAATAATGCAAAGTCCCAAGGCATAGAGTTGGCGCTCTGAAAGGATGGCGAGGGTTCTGAGGCTGAAGGGTCAATAGGAAGGGGCAAGCAGGGGCAGTGAGAGGCTCCAGACTCCATGTGCACCGGATGCCCATGGAGAACGCCATCACGGCACCTGGCAGACACAGCTGAGGGGGAGGGGCCCTTCCTCTCTCCTTTCGCAGAAGCCTAGACCGAATCTCAGCCTCCGGTCTGAACACCTGCCTGGAAGCCTTCCTTCCCCTCTCTGGGTCTACACTGCCCACGACCTGACCAAGCTCCCAGAGTTTCGTCTGCAATCTCCTTGCCTTGATCTCTACACATTTAAGTGTGAAGTTTGTCTCATCGGAAAGATTCTCAGCTCTTCCACAGCGAAGACTGTGCTTATGCCCCTCCTGTCCCTCTTCACAGTTACTGGCCTGTGCTCTTACTCCTAACTGCCTATTTAGTTCATCGAATTCAATGTGCCCCCAATTGAAACTTCTTGCTGTCTCTCCTGGCAGCTCTCAGCTCCTTCAGGAGCCCATACTGTCCTTCACTGTGTTTCAGGAATTGCTGTGCACTGAGGACATGCACTTAGCTCACTGTCCTAGATGATTATGCAAGTCTGGCACAACAGTCTGTGTTTTCCCTTTCCCCACAACCCCCATGCTTCCTTTGCTCTAGCATAACAACCAATCATTTGTCATTGTTGATACACTGTGTCAACTTGAGAACTTCAGAAGTTTAACTGAGACTCAGCAGGGAGCCAGGGCTCTTAATTTGTAAATATCCCCCTCTGTGCAAAGGAGGGCCAGGCCATGTTGTGAGTGCTACACCTGCCCTGAAGGTGGGATGGTGGTAACCTGTGTACCATATAAGGCGGTACCACTTCCTCACTTCCCTTTTCTCTCGCAGCTACACTTCCCACTGAGGCTAAGGGGTACCCTGGGTGGACTGCTTCCCGGGAATCCCGTGGGCAGCCTGGCCAGCCAGTGAGCAGCAATCTTCCTGCTGGCCCTGCTCCTGCGTCCTGAGCCTTGAGCAGCAGCTGGGTTCCTGTGGCAGTCCCGGGGGTTTTCTCAGCCACAAGTTCCACTCATGGTACCCTGGCAGTAGGCAACTCACTACCCTTCCCATCTCTGACTGCAACCTGGGAAACTGTGGCTGGGCCTGGCTGGACACAACCCCGACACACCATGAAAAGCCTGGGCCAAGCTCAGTCTGTCAATAACTGTCCAAACAGCTTTAGCTACAAAGTCAGGCTGCAGAGCAATAGCTCCTGACAAAAGCATGTTCCCAGATGAGCACAAGCTCTTGCATCTGTGAAGTCCTCACCACAGAACTCGTAGAACAAAACCCAAGCCAAAAGACGCAACATTACCAGGTAATTCTGAATAGAGGCAACATTGACAGCTGACTTCCTCCACTGCCGCTGGTAGACGAGGTCCGTATCCAGGCCATAGGTGTGAGCCAAAGACAAGGCTTCCTCATACTCTTCACTCTCAATCTTTAGACAAAACACACAGGAGTGTCATATGGCTCAGGGAGCCACAGGGCCACCACGTGACACGACACATGAGTTCACACTCAGCACTCATGAACTCCTGGTGCACTATGGCATCCACAGCTCACACGCACTGAGGAGTAGATGAATCAGCGCTCACTTAACACTGTCAGACGAGGGATCTGTGGAGAAAGCTCTTGCTCAGAGTCCAATAACAGCAAACTAGTGCCAGGAGTGCCTCGAGCCCTACGGGAAAGGCACAGACAACGGGCACCAAGGCAGTGGCAGTGCTGGCTTCCCAAGAAAGCCCCCAACTAGGAAGCAGACCTGCCCTCACCATCTGAACCTGAACAGGCTGCTATGCTTGACACAGGTAAGGGGACTGCCTAAGGACAGACAGATAATCTGCCAGCATGAATTCTTCTTTGCTCCTGTTTTGATTTTGATTACTCAGGTGCAAACACCAGCATCAGTTTCAAAAGCACTGTGATATTAGGGTGTCTACCGCATCAGTAACCACACATCCTCGTTAATGCCTCCTCATCCCCATAAAGACACTGCCTCACCTTCCTCTGGAACAGCTCCTCGGGGGTGGTGGCACGCAGGCTAACCAGACGATAGTGTTTTGTAATGGTCCGAGGCCGCTTCCGCGGAGGCGCGAATCGCTCCATCTCCGTCACCAGGTAAAGGCCCTGCTTTATGTAACCAAAGTAGCGAGCCTTGGCCGACATTCCATGCTCGGAGTCGGAATCCTCTTCCCCGTCATCTTCATCTCCTGCTCTCACCTCCAAACGAGGGCGCTTGGGTGCAAGTTTAATCTCACACTGGATAGACAAGAAAAATGTGAAATGAACAGGGAGGAGCTAACGTCAGCCTCTCAGAGTTCATGACAACAGCATTTTTAATTCTCCTGTGCTTCGCCTCATGCCTTGTGACTCATGCTGGAAACCAAAGGAACTCTGAAATGAAGGTCCATAGAGAGCTCCAGAAACATGCACTAAAGGGTCAGCTCCACGACTCCAAAATCAAAACCTACTAAGCAACAGTCTTAGTAGGTTACAACCAGCCTGAAAATATTACCTGTAACAGTCCTGACAAAGCAGCCCAGAATGTGAATTTCTGATACCTTTGAAATTGCTATATTTGCTGCAGAAAAATAAAATGATGCTTTTCATCTATCTGGGGAATGGATGTGCAAGGATTTATTTGCTTTTCCAAGAATAGCAGACGGCTAACCATGTCACCAAGTTCTCCCAGTCTGAATGCCTGGCTGCTGGAGATAACTTGCACACCAGGATTACCACAGCCAGCTCAGAGTACTGAGCCACTTCTCCTTAAAGAGCACCTTTAGACTCGGTGACAAACTCGATAAAAAAGTATTTGTCAGTCTATGTTGCTGAAATAAAAGCTACAGAGGATTTTATGAAAGGCAAAAACTTTAAAAGACCAAAGCATAACCTAAAAACCAGCCGCTATTTTCAAGCCTTCTATCACAATAAACAAGTTTTTCTTCCCACAAGAACCAAAAAGTATCACAGTTTAAGAAAATGAACAGGAGGCAACACCTGAAATAGGGCACACCAGCCCACATTTTAAGATAACTAATCTAGGGAGAAAATCTATCATTTCAGTAAAAGAAATGCTTTTTCTTCATTTTCTTACAATGCAATTTTTTTTCAAAATTCACCAAACAATGAAATTTTTCTTTTTAAGTTGTTAAATTTTTCTTTTTAACCCATTCCAATCAGAGATTTTCGTTTTTAAAGACAGGATCAGATCATGAGACAACTAAAATAAGTGAGCTACTTAGATCTGGGAGCAAATGCATTTACTCTCAAGGAGAAAGCCTTACCTCCAGACTTAAAAATCCCCCATCATGGGCAGCAGTGACCTGGGGCGATGGTTCAAACCACTCACAAGATCTTCCCAGCAAATTCTTCAAAGTTTTCACGGAGGAAACTGTGACAGCCCCAGAGGACCGAGCCAGAGTCACAGCACCATCCGCCCACCAACTGACATCTATCAGTGGGTAAAAGGACTCTTTATCTAATGGAAGAAAAGTCAGGCATTTAAATAAAGACAGCACATTTAACATAACGATCAACTTAGTCCAAACTCACCCTACTATTTCGGCCCTAAAGCTATCTAAAATAATGAGACAAAATAAAACTGAAGTAATCACTCAAATTTTTATTCAGGAAAGAGGCACAAAATGGCACAGGAATTCTCTGAAAGAATATCCAAGTGCTGGCAATTAGAGTCAAAGTACAAAGCTCTAGGGACACAGAGGTAAACGCAGTCCTCCTCCTTGCAAAAACAACAAAAAATCCGGAAAAGGTATTTATTCAGGGAAGACACATGTCACCATGTTCAAGTTGGTAAGTTAAAATCAGGTGTGTATGAACTGCACGTACACAAAGGTTACAAAAGGTTTTAGGAACTGAATATCAGTCACCTTCAGACAAACAATGAGAGAAATTACATCTTCTAAAAAAAATAACACAGCTATGTAACAGCTGACAGGGCTGAGTTCCTCCCAACCATTTAACTTACAAAGAAAAGCTATTCAAGATCAATAAAGAATTTTTAGAGATTAAAATGAATTACAGTACACCAAACTGAAAAATTCAACAGGAAACACTGTAATATTTATCATAATTTTACTGCACTTTTTTTTTTACCTTAGCTGCCCTACAAAGGGTGCATAATGGTTCACAGACAATGCATACAATAAACTATAAATTTTAAAATATATTTAAACTAAGGAAAAAGATATTGCAACTTAGTACCATGAAAATAACTCATTATTTTAATAAAAACAAAGACCATAACACCATTTTCTCCCAACAAAAGCCAAGCTAATTCATATAAATGAGCAATTTCCAGAGCATATTAATGCTCCTGGGCTTACATCCCTGAAAGTAGGAAGGAAGAGGAGAGTCATTTAATTTCATTCCAGCTTCCGCTTTGAGAAATTACTACTTTTCACATAAGTCTTCCTGAATATTTTGGATGACCATTTAACAAAAGCAGATAGCTCAAAGTATGGAACATGATATACATGACAATAATCAATATTTTCAGTGCTTTTTAAATTCAAATTTTAAAATACAATGTATATTTTGAAATTTGTGACTATCACTGATTTCATAGGAGACACAGAAAAGCTCAGGGAAATTTAACTTTGATGGTTTCACCTAAAATAATGTGATCCTGAGGCTGGGGAGGTAGCTCAGCAGTAAATAGACTTCCTAGCATGCAATGGGCTAGGATTTAACTCCTAGCATCAAAAAAGAAAGAAGGAAGGGGAGAAGAGGGGAGAAATGAAAAAAAGAAAAATGACCCCTTCATCAAAATTAGAAAATTAAAGCTAGGCCTGTAATCCCAGCACTCAGGAGGCTGAGGCAGGAGGATCGTTGCAAGTTCAAGACCAGCCTGAGCTACAAAGTGAGCCCAAGGCCAGCCTGAACTACATAACAAGACCATCTCAAAAAGACAAAAAAAAAAAAAAAAAAAAATTAAAATACTCAAAATAACCCTTTGTAAGCCTGAAGTTTTTATTTATTGGTTATAACTAATTAAATGACAATTTATTTAAATGTAAATCTTTATTCTTCCTATTTATAAAGATTAAATGACTTCTGAACATGGTGGAACACACCTATAATCTGAGCACTCAGGAGGCTGAGGCAGGAGGATTGCTGCAAGTTCAAGGCCAGCATGAGCTACAAAGTGAATTCAAGGCCAGGACTGCATAGCGAAACCCTCTCTCAAAAAGACAACAAAACAATAAAATGAGTGCATTTTGAAAGCACAGCATTTCACAAATGAAGATAAACTTTTTAACCTGTCCTACCAGCCTAACTCTAACCTCCTCCCACCCAGAGAAAACTTTACCAGGTCCCCTGTGATGACTCTCTTGCAGCTAGGTCCCTTGGGCACATGCTCTAAATTCTAAACTCCACGTGCTACCTCAGAGCTGGCCCCATGGGATCTGCCTCAGCCTTGGGAAAGCTCTAAAATCAGAACCCTGGCTCTATTCCTAGTTCTGGCCCTGTGAACTCTAAGTTCTTCTTCTAAAGTAAAGCAAAAGTATCTGGGAGACTTTTTATATCATCTAAAGGACACCTCATATAAGAGAAGTCCCTTAAGGTTTTAATGATTGTATTTCTTACAACTCACCTTTTATTTTTTTTCTCTTCTCAATAGACAGCCTCCAATCTGGATTAAGGTCATCATAGCCTGGCTAAATATGAAAACATGCAGTGACTTCTTAGGTCAGCTAAATAAGAAAACTGTGGCAAAATCATCAAGACTTGTGGAATTTTTAAAATAACAGCACAAAAAAATAAAAAATAAAATAAAATAACAGCACACACAGTTGATACATTGCAATGATCTCTACCTTTCAACTAATGGAAATCTTCCTCACTATACCAGTCTAGAAAAGCATTTGCACTTAAAAAATTTTTCAGAGCAGGAATTACAATTCAATTTTAGAAAGAAAATAACAGGTACAAGAACAATAAATTCACAACTAGACAGTTAATACAAATGTAAGAAGGGTGCAGAAAAAATTCATTTTATGCACACACACACCCCACAGCAGGCAGCTGTGTGGTTATGAACCAGCATGGGCTATGCACACCAAGCTTTCCTCCGTGTAAACTGAGCAACACTGCACACTCAGAGCCTCAACAAGCCAACTTGCATTCTACCTTCAACTTTCTATGACTGAAGCTTTACTATATAAAAACACATACAACATACACTTTTCAAACTGAATTCATTTATACTCTAACCTTGCCCAATGTAGGGTTATATTCATCTTTTAGAAAAACAAGCATATGACAATATCTCTCCAATTTTGTACAGCGATAGAGGTTAAACCATTGCCAGACACCCCCGGGCTTAATGTTCCTTACTTCATCTCCAGAGCTGAAAGACTATGAGGAAAGACCAGTAAAAAAACTGAATATTTAGTTGAAATCTTAACTATAAAAAAGACAACACAAAACAATAAAAAAGGGTCACCAATAGGGTTGCTGTACTTTGTAACAACTTACTACATATTTTATAAAAAACTACAAGAGACGAATTCACAGGTTCTCAACACTGAAGTGGCAAATATTCAGGGAGCTAGGATATGATAAATTTGATCACTGTACACTACATGCATGTACTAAAGTTTCACAGCATAACTAATGTATCCTATACATATATACAATTACTATCAACTACAAATACTTAACATGTTATACAAAGAAATACATTTGAAAACAAACAAAGAGGAGACCAAGATGGTGGAGCAGTAAACAGCACAGAAAACAGCCTCTTTGAGAGCAGCCATCCAGATGCTGGAATATAGCATCATAAGGAAAACAAGGAGGAGGAATGTGGGTCCACTGAATCCAGGAAAAATCTGAAGGGCAAACTAAAGCTCACAGAAAGAGTGAAAAGAAACACCTCCACCACGAAAAAGGTGGCAGCTGGTAACACCTTCTGCTTGAGACAGAACTCAGCATGAGAGGAACGGTTTGAACCTGCAGACACACAGTCATGGTGAGAGTGATGCTGGCAACCCCAGAAACCTCTGTAGAGAGATGCAGCAGTGGACATGGAGGACCGCACTGGCTGGTTCTCTCCCATGGGAGACAGCAATTGGCCAGGAGCTCTTGGAGATGGGCCAGCTGAGCTCAGAACCCAGAACTGCTGTCAGCTCCATCTAGCAGAGCCTAGCTAGGCTCAGACTCTCAGTAATTGCTCAGACAGCAGTGAACACAATGTGTCTGGTCTCAGGACAGGCCTGCTGAGATTACCCACTAACCTGCCAAAAAGCTACTGCTGGCTTGCTGGGAGAGATCAGCATGATTCCAGACTCTGTCTTCACAGGCTGTCTATTAGTGAAATCTGAGAAAATCCTGAAAGTAGATCGTTTATTTTTCTTTTCATGTTTTTTCCCTCTTTCTCCTTTACTGTTTTATATGAGTGAACGGGAGTTCCTAACTTCTTTGTGGGTGTGGTTCTGTTCTGTTCTTGCTTTTATCTCTTCCATCTCTTTTTTCCTTCAGTCTTCTGCACCAGTTTGCAAACGTTGGCGTGATCACCCTTCATCCTCCAACTTTACTTGTAATCTCTTCCTCCCACTTCTCTATTCTCTCCTTAATGCATTTTAAAATTTAATCCCCAAGGCCAAAATTGACACATGAAGGTCTTATATACTGCATGTAACTTTCTGGTTTTACATTTTGTGATATAATCACAAGTCTAGTCCATACAGTTAAAAGTGGCAAATTAAGGGTGAGCTCAGTCTGTTGTTTTCTAGGCTGTGCTGATGCTACTGGTACCACTATAGCCAAAACTGACATGGTTGGTCCTGGTATTCCATGACTGAGATTAACTAAGGGTCACAGAAAATACAGTGCCACAGTGCCACAGAACCCGAGACTAGGCCAAACAAGCAACAACTTCATCCCCAACAAACTGAAGCGGTAAGATCTTCTAACAGATCCAAAACCCAAAACCAGCTACACCTAGAAGATACCTCAGAGACATACTCATCACCTAACGGTCCTAAATACTACCAAAAAAGCAACCCATCATAGGTAACTTACAAACATCATGCCAGGAATTAAAAAGAGAAAAAGAGGGGCTGGGGATTTAGCTCAGCGGCATAAGCACCTGCCTTGCAAGCAGGCAGTCGTGAGTTCGATCCCCGATACCGATAAAACGGAGAAAGACAAAAAAAAAAGAGAGAGAAAAGAAATGAAAAGACAGCTAAACAAAATACAACTCCAGGCATCCAGTTCACCAAAGGCAAATCCAGGGGACAATGAGGTAGGACAGTATGAAAATCTGCCACGGGGCATCCCTAAAGTAGTAAAAACAAAGCAACTGAATGAGGCTCTGGAAAAAACAAAATCAGAAATAATCTCTCAGATAACTACAGAGATTACCAAAATAGACACTATGCTTAATAACATTAGAGCAGACACAGACAAAAATAGTTGAGTTTAAGAAAAGCTCAGCATAGGAAAGAAATGAAATCCATAAAGCAGATTCAAGCAGATATCCAATGGAGAATAAAAACTCCATTGAAAGTATTTAAAGAAAATTAGGACAATGTGAGGACAGGATCTCAGATATTGAAGATAGGCAGTTAGTAACCAGAAAAAGAAAGATTTCTCAAAAATAGCAAGGGACCATGAGAAATCAATCCAACAGCTGCTAGATGAAACAAAGAAGGATATAACAGGATTAATTGAAGTCAGTGAACAAGTAGGAAATACCACAAATGACATTTTAAAAAAAAATGTTTGCAGACATCAAGGCAGAAAATTTTCTTGGTAAAGAAAAAGAATTTAACATACAAGTAAGTAAGGCATACAGCACTTCAATTAGCCATGATCCAAAAAAAAAAAAAACTACAGCAAAGCATATCATAGTCAAGATTCCAGAAACTGGGAACACAAGAGTAGAATCTTAAAAGCTGTTGAGCAAAGAAACAAATCACTTATAATGGAAAGCCCATCAGAATCACAGCTGACTTCTCAACACAAACTCTCAAGTCAAAGAGAGCTTGGAGTGAAGTACTCCAAGTTCTAAAAGAAAACAACTTTCAACACAGATTGATGTACCCACAAAACTCTTTCAAAATTGAGGGAGAAATAAGATACTTTCATGACAAAGAACATCTGAGGAAATTTACGACTGCCAAACCAGCACTCCAAAATGTTCTGAAGGACATTCTAGGAAGAGATAAAAAGGACTATACCTCTATGAACCCCAACAGAAGGAATACACCAGGGAAGGCAAACAAATAAGAGCAAGGGGGAGAGCCAACATCAGGAAAACAACATGACAAGGAGAAGTCAATACACTTCAGTTATAACCATCAATGTTAATTGTCTTAATTCACCAGTCAAAAGACACAGACTGGTAGAACGATCACAACGCAAGGTCCAACAATATGCCACATACAAAAATACATTTAACTCAAAAAGAAATTCACAGACTGAAATTCAAAGGATGGAAAGCAATATTCCATGCAATCAGAATCCAGAAAAAAGCAGGGGTAGCTATTCTATTTGCAGACAAAGTGAACTTCAAGCCAAGACTGATTTAGAGAGATAAAATCACAACATCCTTGTAAAGGGAACAATCCAAGAGAAAGAGATAACAATCACAAATATATATGCAACAAATACTAGTGCACCCAACTATATAAAACAATTACTAATGGACATGAAAAATCAAGCCCTAACACAACTGTTTTGGGAGACCTCAATACCCCACTGTCACAAAAAGATCAACTAGACAAAAAAAATCAATAATGAGATATTAGAACTAAATCAAACTTTTGAACAAATGGACTTAGTAGATATCTCTAGAGTGTTCCTCCCTACAACATCAGAATACACATTCCTCTCAGCTGCACATGGGATATTCTCCAAAATGCACAATACAGACTCATAATACATGCTTAAGTAAATGCAAAGGAATTGAAACTATCCCATGCATACTATCAGACCATAGTGTAATAAGCTTGGAAATCCATGCTGTTGCAGTCAGGGGCTGTGCAGAGAACAATTAAAATCAGGACATGGAATTTATAATATTATTTTATGACGTTCACCCAAGAGTTAACATAAGGAACTGTAAGAAATCTATCCACAACACCAAAGACATAAAATATTCAACCAATTCAACCAATTGAATCCCACAGCAATGTCTTCCATGAGTCCACATGAAGACCCAGAACTCATGACAGTGCCTCCCACAAGTCCAACTGGAGGTCTAGAGCCCAAAAGAAGGACCCACACCAGTCTCTTTTACCAATCTGTGCTGGGAAGGCCCAAAGGTCAGCAGTGGAAGCTAGAAAGGAAGCGAGTTGAAGGAGTTGAAGGAGCTGTGCTGATAGGTTGATAGGTTCTATGCTGGAGGCAAGAAGTCATGCTCAAAACAAAGACCAAAGCTGTCCTGAAAAGCACCACAGTCATCCTCAGCAACACAGAGGTCCCAAGCTCCTCCAACAACAAGCACAGTCAAGTGATGCCAGGAAGTCAGCACAAGTTTGTCCTGGAGATTAAGTGGCATACCTCCTCCCCTCCAGAGCCAGGAAGTAATACTCAATGTAAGGAAAGAGCTCCTCCAGGAGAACCAACAGCTGAAACATCAACACTTAGTGAAACCCACAATGCCTCATTGCCTCAATGCCTCTCTTCTTCTCCATGTCTCTATTTTTGC